TGATCACAGTTACTTTGTGTCCACAGCCTGAGTGCCCTTGCAGGTCTAATTTCATTCCACACGGCCCTGAGAAATCAGAGTCCCAGCTATTATTACCCTGGAGTGTTTCTGGGGCTCAATAATCACCTGAGGGCCTCAACAACATCGATGAGAGGAGGGAGCTCAGAGAGGTTAGGTCCCTTGCCCAAGACCACACAGCCAGTGAGAGGTAAAGACTTGGGATTTCACTGCTTTCCACTAGACCAGGGCCGGGCAAACTACAGCCTGGGAGCCAGCCACTTGTTTCTGTAAATAAAGTTTTATTGGCACGCAGCCACGCCCATTCACTTACATACTGTGTGGCTGCTTTCGCACTGCAACACCAGAATTAGATATTTTTGACAGAGAAAAGATTTATTATCTGGCCCTTTAAGAAAAGATCTGTTGACCCCTGCACTAGACTATGAGCACCCCGAGGGCAGGTACTGGGTGCAGCTAGAGTCTACTGGGTCCTCAGTTCCAGCAGCGTCCGGCTTTTCACAGCTGAAACAGGACTGGCATCCGCATATTAAGGTCTTTATATAGATTACCTTACGGAAGCTTATATCCACCTATGTGGTCCACCAGCCTAGCGCCATTTTGCAGGTAAGGAAATTGAGGCACAGAGAGGAACTAGCCCCTGGCAACATGGCTCAGAGGTGGCACGCAGCAGTATGCTTCCAGAACCCAGGCTCATAGCCACAGTTCCTTGCTGCCTCGCTTGGAGGCACTGAATGAATGAATGTGAACAAATTCATTCATTCAGCTTGCTGTGTGAGCTGGGACTAGTGGCTCGACTGCTCTGAATCTCGGGCTTCCTCAGCTAAAAACGGGACAACAGTCACAACACGCACACACCTTGTGGGGCTGATGCAAGGGCTCAGTGAGATGCAAACTCATGCATTCAGCGGTTACGTGGTGAGCGTCTGTTCTGCTGGGTCCTGTGTGGGGGACGCAGCTAGAATTGAGCCAGACCCGGTCCCTGCCTCAAGGAACTAATGTCCCGGTGTGGGCTGGGTGTATGGGACATTCAGTTCAGGGCCAACCCCAGCAAGCAATCAGCAAACACCCGCTTTTAGGATTTCCGAGAGGAATGACAGTACACCCAGGGGCCCAACCAGGGTATCCAAGCCAGCAGCAGGGCGGCCTGGTGCTGGGGCCCGGCATGGTCTCCCACGCGCCATCTGGCCCCACTTGGCAACTCAGGACCCTGCCCATCAGACAGGAGGATGGTGCGCAGGCTGCCTCCCTCGCGGGGGGCTCCTGAGCACGGGGCAGGCAGGGTCTCGGTCCTGTTCCTGATCCACACTCACTCACCGATACGCTCGATCCTCGTCACATCGCGGATCTCTGGGACCTTGGTTGTGGCTGCCTGGGGATGGAGGAGGACACCTCAGAAGAGCTCTTGTGGTCCCAGTTCCCACCAGCTCCTCTTCTGTCCCTCCCGCCTGCCTCCCAGGAAACAGTCCTTTCTCCTTCTCCCCACTGACAGGCTGACAGCCCAAACACAGTCAGTCCCCCCACTTCTCGGTTGTCACGGACTTAATGCCAGTTGGTTGACCCCACTACACTACTGAGTCCCAGGAAGAGAAGAACCGTGTCTGTCGTGTTCACAGCTTCATCTCCAGGGCCTAGCACATATTTGGTGCCCAGGAATTATTTGGTGAAGGATGAAGTCTTCCCCGCCCCCATAACGGTAAAGACAGAACCAACCCAGCAGAGCAGGTATCAGGCTGGACGTGGTCCGGCCCCTGCTGATTTCCCAGTCACCCTTGCACTGCACCGTCCCAGCTGTCACTTGGCCTTTGCACGTCCAAGTCCCTGAGTCCCGCCTGCTCTCGCCGCCCCCTCACTGAATGAGATCCAGCGTCGTTCACTAAGGGAGGCCCTCGCTGGCCTCCGCACCTGCTGGCCTACATTCAGGGTCTCTGGAGGTCCAGACAGACGGAAGGGCCTCCCCTAGGAGCCCGATCTCCTCGTGTAATCTGACTTTCAGGAAGGAGACTGCTGGGGCCAGCATTCTCTGCTCGAGATCTGAGTCCCACGAAGGGCAAGGACGACACCTCTCTTCTTCACTTTGGGGTCCAACATTCGGGGTTTGAATGAATGATGTACCGAAGTGCTGACCCCATTCAACAAGCTGGTCCTCAGGCCTCCTGTGTCCCCAGCTCTCCTTGGAGAGGAGAGGAGAGGAGCCAGCCACCACCCCTTCTCGTCTGGGGAGGAGAGATGGATAAACACCACCTGGGACAATTCAAGAAGCCCCCTCAGGAGGTCCACACATATGTTCACAGAGGCATTATTCATCATAGCCAAAAGGTGGAAACAATATAAAATGTCCATCAACGGATGAATGGATAAACAAAGTGTGGTCTGTCCATACAACGGAGTATCATTCAGCCATAAAAAGGAATGCACTTCTGATCTCTGCCACAGGGTGGACGAACCCTGCAAACACTATGCTAAGTGAAAGAAGCCAGACACAGAATGTCACACATTGTAGGATTTCATTTCTATGAAATGTCCAGAACAGGCAAATCCATAGAAACTGAAAGTAGATTAGTGGTTGCCTAGAGCTGGAGGGATGGGAGGATAGGAAGATGACAGATAAAAGGTACAAGATTTCTTTCTGGGGTGATGAAAGTGTTCTCAAATTGACTGAGAGGATGGTTGCACAATTCTGTGAATGTTCCAAAAGCCACTGCACTGTACAATGTAAACAGGTAAATTGTGTGGTATGGAAATTCTATCTCAATTAAGTCGTTAAAAAAATCTGGGTGGTGGGTCCTGTTCGATTATTTTTTGACACTGGAATATTTCATAATTTCTACTAAGGAAGGAGAGGCCTAAGGGGTCAGCATACTGAACCAGCCCCTCGGCCACCTGCCCCCAACCCTTCTTGCTTCCCCCAGGTCCCCTGTTTCCACCAGAACGAGTGGCGAGGCAGGCAGCTGACGCAGTGGAAGCCTCCTCTCTCTGGAACCAAGAGTTTAGACTTCCTGGCCACCACGTGGTCACAAGCGTCCTTCCTTGCTGTTTGTGACCCCTCCCTCCTACTCTCTCCTCATAGGAGGCTGGAACCCAACAGCAGTGGACACCGCCCACAACCACTATCAGAAAATGACAACATACTCCACACACCCCTACACAGCCTCTCAGACCCTATACAAGGCAAAAAACCAGACGGGGATTCAGGAATTCCAACCCTCGGCAATCCCAGCATCAACTGACCCGCCTCCGACAAGGACTTTCCTTTCATCATAAGCCTCTTCTCCCCCTGCTGCCCTCTGACCCCAAGGCAACAGAGGGCATTTTGAAACTCAGCACCTACCATCCCCTCACACTTCCAATACTTCATCCAGGCCCAGGGGACGGGTCTCAGGAGTGTGGCCACTGCCCTTCCCTCTTCCGCTTCCCTAGCCACCCTCTTTGCCATGGTAGCAGAAACAGGCGCAAATTTCACCCCCCAGGCACCAGTAACTCTCAGCCCACCATTCCCCCATCTTGACTGGGGTCACCATGGGAAACGAGGCATCGGGAAGCCCAGTCCAACCCCCAAGGTAAGATCACCTCCCTTCCTCATTCAGATGTTTCTCAAGCAAGTACTTGGTGCCAGCCCCAGTGTATATGGTCTCTCTTTTACGAAGTTCACATGCATTCATTCATTCAAACATTCAAGTACGACATATTGAGCATCCACACCGCGCATGCCCCGCATGAGGCGCTGGAAATACGAAAATGACCAAAACAATCCCATGACAAGATCCCAAGCTCTGGGACTCCTAGCCCTTTCTCCCTCCCCACTGACACCCTCTGGGTTCTCAACACTTTTCTCTTTTGGCTCAAGACTCACTAAGCGACTCTACGATCTCAACCACATAAGACAGGTCCCCGCCTGCGCTTCTCCCTGCACTCAGGTGCCATTCACACCATCGACAACCCAAGGCTCCTGGATGGCTGGGAGCCCAAGACACTACAACCCAAATCAGACTTGAGGACAAAGGACTGCAGAACTGGCCGTTGATTGCGCCTAGAGGATCGGAAGTTAGAGTTCCTACAACATGATGGGGTCAGATCTGACCACCGAGACCGTGAACATCCAGTCGAACCCAGGATTCTGGGATACCAGCCCCTTTTCTCCTCCCTCAGACTCGGGAGTCTGTGCCCCCAGCCCCCTCCCCACTCAGCACCAGGAACCCGAGCCCCCAGCCTCTCCTTCCTCAGACCCGGGAGTGCCGGTTCCCTCCTCAGTCCTCCGCATGCCAGCACTCACCACGGTTGCCATGATGCGCACCAACCGCCAATATCCTAGCGGAAACGGAAATGCGCTAGAAACGAAGCATTCTGACCCCTCTAGCCTGATAGGTCCTCCAAAGATCTCTGTGCTCCCTCATAAATATGCAAACTCTCCTCGTGGGGGCGTAGCGTCACTTTTTAGGCCCCGCCCATCTGCTGGGGCTGAGCTCGAAGATGGGTGCCCGGAACTCCTGGGTCCGTTCCCAACGCCTCCTGGCTCCTCCTCTTTTTACCCAGACCTCTTTGCTGAGGCTGATTGCAAAATTCTCAACACTTTGGGCAACCACACGTCCCCCACGCTCTCTTTCCTCTTTATTCCACCCTCTTCCCTCCTCCTCCCTCCAATTTTGGGGCCTCAAGCTTCGGATTGACAGAGCTGAGGGCCAATCAGCTCTCGCAGCTACAAGCCCCGTCTCCTAGAGCTCGCAGCGACCGCTAAGGCAGTCGCGGGGCAGAGCGAATCCTATTCTGTCCACCAATCAGGAGACGCGGGAGCCCCGGCCCCCGGGCGCGGACCAATGGCGCTGGCCGGGGGGCGGGCACCGCCTCCTGGCGGCCGCAAGGTTACACTGCAGGGCCCCACTCAGCTCAGTGACGCTGCGGCCGCCTCCTGCGTACGTCTGAGCGCTGCGGGTTGGGGATACGGTCTTGCAATAGGAAGCCGAGGGCGTTGCAAGCTTCCCGTCGGACACCAGCTGCCTGCCCCCGCACCCTGCCCAGTGCATTCCCCAAGCACCTCCGGGGACCCTACCTGTGGCCTCCGGAGCCCCCTTCCCGCCTCAGCCATGCCTCTAAACCGCACTTTGTCCATGTCCTCACTGCCAGGACTGGACGATTGGGAGGATGAATTCGACCTGGAGAATACAGTGCTCTTCGAGGTGGCCTGGGAGGTGGCCAACAAGGGTGAGCACGCCAGGCTGGGGGCCCCGGAAGAGAAGGGCAGTCGGGGATGGGGTCCCGGAACTCTTGAGTAACAGGGAGCCGGGGCTACATGGCATGACCCTTGGGTCCTGGGCAAGGAGCCTATGACTCCTATGTCCTTCAGGAGGGGTTGGGGTATGTCTCTTGGGACCTAGGGGGCGGGGATGAGTCGCCTGACTGTTAAGATGAAAAGAGGCTGGAAACCCGGGTCCTGGGTCCTAGGGGAGAGGGGGCTGAAATGAAAGATTCCTAGGTCCGGGAGGGAGGTTTCCGAGAGACCAGAGACCTGGGTCCTGAACAGGGAAGGAGATGGGGGGTTGGCACTTCCTAGTGCAAACCTGGGAAGTGGCTGTGTTACAGAACGGTGGCCCTGGCGGAAGGGACTGGGGATGTAACTCCGGATTTGGAAGATCGGATGGGAGATAGGATGCATGAGTCGCGGTGGGAGAATCTGGGGAACTGGTCACTTGACAGTAAAGATGGGAGGAGGCTGGAGACCCTAATTCTTAAACCCTAGGGAGAGAGAGAGTTGGGGCCTGGATGCCTAGATTCTGGAGGAGCCGAGGGCCTGGGTTATGGATTCCTAAGATTAGAGGAACCCGTGGCCTCAGACACATGCGTACTGGAAAGGGGGAAGGCTGGGAAGTCCTAAGTTGGTCAGGGGCTGGGCCCTGGGATGGGAGTGGCAGGGGGCCTGGATTTCTGTGTCCTGGGCCCCAAAGGGCCTGGGGTTCTGGGTTTGGAGAAGCCTGGGGCCGCAATCCCAGGAGCTAGGCAGTTTCACTCCTTAAAAGGGAGAGAGCTGGGGTTTTGCTTTGCTGAATTTTGGGAGAGAAAGGGACTGGCTCTGACACTCACCATGGGAGGGGACCTGCAAATACAGAGCCATGTGTCACCAAGGCCCAAGCCCCAGGAGGTAAGGAGGCTCGGGGCCCAGACTCCTCAGTCTGCACTGGAGTCATGGAAGGGGCAGGGCCCTGCATGCCTGTGTCCCCAGCTGGCAGAAGAGACTGGGGGACAGGTCGGCAGAGTCCCTGGGGAGGCAAGGAATGACAATTCCAGCTTCTCTTGGGCAACTGTAGGAAGTGAAATAGGGCTATGAAGAGAGATTCTCCCAGAGCGTGTCCTAGAGGCTGAGTGAGACTTTAGACCCAGCTCCTGGAGCCCGGAACTCGGGACCCTGGGTCCTGGTAATCCTTGTCAGCTCTGTCATGCTAATTCTCTCAGGACCAGGAGCCCAAGCCCTCAGCCCCTTCTCTCAGTCTCAGAAATCTGGCCTGAGCCCCCTCCTCCCTCAGTCCCGACCCACCCCCTTTTTCCCACAGACTCAGGAGCACTGCCCTCCAGCACTGTATCCTCTCCTCCCTCTGACTCTGAAGGATGGGCTGGCTACCAGTCCCCTCTTCCCTCTAAGCCAGAGGTCCGGGGCCCCGGCACCTCCCATGGCGCCCCACCCCACCCCAGGTCCCAGAGCTGTGGACCTCGGCTGGGGCCTGCCCTCACGTACTTGGGCCCACAGTGGGTGGCATCTACACGGTGCTACAGACGAAGGCGAAGGTGACAGGGGATGAATGGGGCGACAACTACTACCTGGTGGGACCATACACGGAGCAAGGCGTGAGGACCCAGGTGGAGCTGCTCGAGCCCCCAACCCCGGCCCTGAAGAGGACGCTGGACTCCATGAACAGCAAGGGCTGCAAGGTGGGGCATGGGCGGCCAAGGGCAGGGAGGCGGGTGCCCGAGGTCGGGGTGGGAGCAGCAGCAGAAGAGGCAGGGGCTGGACAGAAACCCGGGGCGACCCAGGACTTTCCCAGGCAGACATAGAGGAGGTAAGACTGACAGACACGCAGCAGAGGCAGGAGCCCGGGAGGTGTGGGGTGAACCCCAAGTTCTAAGATGTGATGCATGGACAGACAGACAGCAGACTAAGAGATGGTCCCAAGAGGTCAAGATCCTCAGACCCAGAGAGAGAAAAAAAACTAGATGGAAAGGCAGCCAGACAGAACCTGGGGGAGGTGGGCTTGCGGGGAGGCAGGCGGCCAGAATAGGGGTTCTGGAGGCTGAAGTCCAAATTCAGCTTCGCCCCTCCCTGCTCGTGTGCCCTTGGTTAATGAACTTGCTATGAACCCTAGTAGGGTTGTTGGGAGGGTGAAAGAGTTGATAAAGTCTTCAGTCTGGTGCCTGGCGTGAAGTTAGCAATGCGTGTGAGCTGTTGTGTCGTGGTTATCATCATCCTCGTCATCGTTATTACTATAAACAGCGGAGCTTGCAGAGTGAGGTGGGCAGGCAGACAAAGGGAGAGAGACGGATGGCAAGAGACTGTGTCCCAAGAGGTGATGGTGGCCCCAGGGGCTAGAGCAATAGGGAGATAGACAGAGTCTGGATATACATGAGAGGCAGCCCAGTGTTTCAGAGAGAAAGACCTAGAAGGAGAGGGGAAGATGGAATACTGATGAAGAGAGGAGAGACCCAGGGGACTGAGTTTCAGATGGGCAGAGCCAGGGGTTAAAGAGTGGAGAGTCCCAGGGCCTCCGATGAGGGCTGAAGGATGAGCCCAGAGGGGGCTGCCACCCAAGGAGAGGGCCACGAGGCAGCGGGGCCGAAGCACAGACAGGTTGGGGTCTGGGAGCGAGAAGTACAGTGGTTGATTCCTTCATTCATTCACAGCCTCTGGGGTCGGGTGGGGTCTGGAGTCCAGTCAGGCCCGAATGTGTCCCTAAGGAACCTTACAGCAGTTCAGCCCTCCCCCATGGCAGCTGCTCCCCACGTGCTGGGGGCCTAAGAATAGCCCCCCCCAGCAAAAGGGCAGGCAACAGCTGGGAGGGGGAGGGACACTGGGGTCAGGCTCCCCAGGCTGGGGAAAGCCAGGTTAGGGAGGCGTATGACTATCTGTCAGCTGGATAGAGTTGTGGCAGCAGGCCCAGACCTAGGCCATGGTCTCAGGAGGAAAGCAGATTGGAGAAATGTGGCAGGGGCAGAAATGAGACAGCGAGGCTTAGAAACATGGCAGTGGGTAGAAAAATGCAGCCCTGGGGCGTGGAAGGAGGGCAGACAGTATTAGAAATGTGGCTGCAGAGTGCAAAATGGACGTAAGGGCAGAGGAAAGAGGCAGCAGGTGACAAATATATGGCGAAAGGGTTAGAAACAAGGCAGTGGGTGGAAGAAATATGGCAGCCAGAACAGTAACAGAAGTATCCAGGAATTAGCAGCAGGAAGAAAAGATCGTGGGAGAAAGCAACAGGGTGGTTGGTGAAATGTGGCAGAAAGCACAGAAACGAGGCAGCAACTTGGACAAATGATTAGCGGGTAGAAAACAAGGCAGTCGGGGTGTAGAGACAGGACGTGGGAAACGTGTGATTCTAAGGAGAGAAAGGAGGCAGCAGATGGGAGAGAGACAGCAGTTATAGAAACTGAGCAAGGGACAGCGAAATGTTGCAACGGAGAAGGAGAAAGATTGTGGTGGGAATAACTAACAGCAAAGAGAGAAATCAGGCAGCGGGTGAGAAATTAGCAGACAGAAGGTGGAAGAAGTAAGGCTGGAAGCCCAGGCATCTGTCTGTGGCTGAGAGAACCACAAGTGCTGTGCCCAGAGATGTGTGGCCGAAACCCTGAGCCTCCCTCTGGGCCCCCCAGGTGTATTTCGGGCGCTGGCTGATCGAGGGGGGCCCCCTGGTGGTGCTCCTGGATGTGGGGGCCTCAGCCTGGGCCCTGGAACGCTGGAAGGGAGAGCTTTGGGACACCTGCAACATCGGGGTGCCCTGGTACGACCGTGAGGCCAACGACGCCGTCCTTTTTGGCTTCCTCACCACCTGGTTCCTGGGTGAGGTAGGCCCCACCACCAGTCCCCATGTCACTCCTTTCCACCCCAGGCCCAAAACTACAATGGCCATCAGCCCCAGGTCAGAGGGTGGCTGGCTTCTCCCAGGGCATTCTGGGAGTTGTAGGTCCTTTAATCCAAGGATTAGCTCTGACCTTTGGGAACCTGGACATCCAGGGGTCCAGACACTTCTTTCTTCAGAGACCTAAACTCCCAACTCCGCTTCATTCATTGCAGTCTTCCAAATATAAGAATTCTGAGCCATTACCTCTTGGGAAGGCTGGTCTGGCTGGAGGGCTCACCCCCCCCCCCAGGGAATTCTGGGAGTTGTAGTTCTCTACTCTGATCTTCGCTGGACGTAGCTCTCAGATGGCACCCTGGATGTTTGGGAAACCCCAGCCTATTAGAGAACCAGGAATCCTGGTTCTTCCCCCATTTTAGGTTTTAAAAGGCTCAAGAAACTTTGTTTCCCATGCCCTGGGACAAAGAGTTAATGAACTGGCTGCTCCTAGGGCATTCTGGGAGTTGTAGTCCTCACTATTGGGTGCAGTTCTACTCTTGATTGAGATAAAGGTCTCCAGGAATTGTGTCTAGGACTTGGGAACACTGAAACTTCAGTCTTTCCAGTTCAGCCCTGCTGGGCCTTAGAAGGTTGGCTGAAAAACCCCAGCTCCCATCAGCCTCTGGGGAGGAGGTCAGGGGTCTGGCTGCCTCAAGGATTTGTACAGTTCCTTGTCCAATGGGGATTGCAGGGGCTGGCGGCCCACTCTGTGCAGTGGAGGTGATTTATCTCTCCTCAGTTTGCTCGTCCACTTTGGGGATGGCTGATCATCTTCACGACACACGTGGAGACACAGTGGCCCTGTCTCTGCTGCCCCACAGTTCCTGGCCCAGAGCGAGGAGAAGCCACATGTGGTTGCACACTTCCACGAGTGGTTGGCGGGCATCGGGCTCTGCCTGTGCCGTGCCCGGCGGCTGCCTGTGGCTACAATCTTCACCACCCACGCCACGCTGCTGGGGCGATACCTGTGTGCCGGTGCTGTGGACTTCTACAACAACCTGGAGAATGTGAGCCGGGAGTGTGGCAGGTGGGGGCGGCCAGTATTTCAGGACAGCCCAAAGCTGTCTGCGAAGCCCAAGGAGATCAAGCTCCCTCTTGTCCCAGGACCCAGGAGTCCAAGACCCCAGGCCCCTCCTCCCTCAGACCTAGGAGTCCAGCTTCCGGCTCCAACCTCGCCCAGGACCCCAGAATCTGGACCTCCAGTCTTCTGCCCATTCTCCTAACCTAACCACCGTCCCTTCCTGCCCAGTTCAACGTGGACAAGGAAGCTGGTGAGAGGCAAATTTATCACCGTTACTGCATGGAGCGGGCGGCAGCCCACTGCACTCACGTCTTCACTACCGTGTCCCAGATCACCGCCATTGAGGCTCAGCACCTACTCAAGAGGAAACCAGGTGGGGCATAGGAGGGGGTCCCGAGACATGAATGAGGTAGTTGACGGTCTACGCCAAGGCCCGTACCAATTTTCTTATTGTAAAGAGCAGAGAACTACAACTCCCAGAAGACCCTAAGTTGATGGCCTGCATATGAGGCTGCCGGGCTGTACCCTAGAGGCTAATGGGAGGTGTAGTTTCTTTGACATTCATTTCAGAAAAGGGAAAATTATTTTATTGGCTAAGGTGGATATTGGTCTTCTGAAAGAGGATGGAGGTTCACTGGATTTTGTTTTTGAGAAAAGCAGTGTTAGAACCAGTTATTCTTCCCAGGCTATAGCATCAATTCTCAATGGATGTGAGAACTACAACTCCCAGAAGGCCTCTGGCTGGCCAGCTCCTTAATATTCCTGGAATTACCTTCATTTATTCATTCAACCACATTGATCTGAATGAAGAAGTGAAACATGGGACCTTCTCCCCCATGCCTAGATATCGTGACCCCCAATGGACTGAATGTGAAGAAGTTCTCTGCCATGCATGAGTTCCAGAACCTCCATGCTCAGAGCAAGGCCCGAATCCAGGAGTTTGTGCGTGGCCATTTTTATGGGTATGTGGGCCAGATACCCAGGTCTTGAGAGAGGTGGGGGTTGGGTGCCCAGACTCCCGGGTCTAAGGGAGGGGACAGCTGGGGGCTCAGACTCTTGAGTTCCTGAGCGTCAGAACAATGGCTGAGTATTGCAGGAGATCCCCGTTTAAGGAGAAAAGAGGCACAAGTCCCATGAGTCCCATGATGCCTCTGTACTGTCTAAGATGTTCTTTGCCCCTGTGGCTTCTGGGGTTTGTAGTTTTGAGCCAGGGCTAGAGGGTGAGGATCTTGGCTTCACCCTGTCTTGTGGCTTTTTAGGCACCTGGACTTCAACTTGGATAAGACCCTGTATTTCTTTATCGCCGGCCGCTACGAGTTCTCCAACAAGGGGGCTGACGTCTTCCTGGAGGCCTTGGCCCGGCTCAACTATCTGCTCAGAGTAAGGCCTGGGCTACGAGGGGACAAAGGAGGATGAGAAGATGAGTACATAACCGGCGAGAACAGGACCCGGGGAGGTGGGGGTTGGGAACCCCGTCTGTAGGGCAGGTGCAGACACCCAGAAAGAAGATCCGAGTCTCAGTGGGGATAGTAACTCTGTCCTATAATTCGCCTTGACAGGAAGGGGCCTGGCAGGATCCTAGTGGTCTTGGGGGAGGGGAAAGGGTGGGTGATCCTGACCTCGGCCCCTTTTCCTCGGCCCCAGGTAAATGGCAGCGAGCAGACGGTGGTCGCCTTCTTCATCATGCCGGCTCGGACCAACAACTTCAACGTGGAAACCCTCAAGGGGCAAGCCGTGCGCAAGCAGCTCTGGTCAGCAGCCTTGGCCCGGGCACCCGGCCGGCCCCACGCCCAGCTCTGTGCTCCGGGTCTAGTGTTCCTCTTGGAGTCTCAGTTTTGTCATCTGTAACAGGATCAACCCGCCCCACCAATTCCTACTGAAGTCACTTGCTTAAGATGCCTCCAGCACAGGGGGCAGTAAGAAGTCGCAGGCAGGACAAGTGTGACAGCACCATCAGGGTTCTGATATGAAACCAGTGAGGTCCCACTCATGCCACTGACCCTTGCTGGCTCTGTGACTTTAGGCAAACCACTCCCCTTCTCCAAGGCTCAGTTTCCTCATCTGTAAAACCCATTCATTAGCCATAGATATTCACTGAGCACCTACTGTGTGCCAGGCACTGTTCCAGGCCCTGGGAACACAGCTGTGAACAAGAAAGATAAAATCCCTGCCCTCATGGAGCTCACATTCTAGAAAATTCTAGAAAGTGCTCTGGCAAAAAAATAAAAGGACTGGAATATGAGACAGTTGTCAGGACAGGCCACACTGAGAAAGTACCATTGGGTAGAGACCAATAGAGGAAATGAGGGAGGGTGTCCTGTTTGTATGTGGGGAACAGCAAAGGGAACAGCAAGTGCAAAGGTCCTGAGGCATGTTTGAGAAACAGCAAGGAGGCCAGTGGAGCTGAAGCAGAGTGCCTTAGAGAGATGGGGTAGAAAATGAGGCCAGAGCTCTGGGAGGGCTGTGAGCAGAGGGATGTCACTGGAGCTGTAGGGTGGCGCTCTTTGCTAGCATTACTCGTGTACATAAAGTTTCCTCTCAGAACATAATTTTCCCTTTTTATAAAATGGGGCTTAGCATTGCCACCGCCAGGACTAGGAGAAGTCCTAATAATAGCTGACATTTCTGGAAGGCTCACTGTGTGCCGGGCACTGTGCACTTTTTGTCATGACCTCATCGAGTTCTCACTGCAAACCTCTGAGGTTGATTCTATTTTTGTCCCTGTCTGACAGATAAGTTACTGAAGTCAGAGAGGAAAGGCCACCTATCCCTGGCCACACAGCCGATGCAAGGCACAAGGGATCCGAGCCTTCCAGGGCCTGTTCCCTGGGTCCCCATCCTCCAGCCCAGAATCCCCAGGGCTTCTCTGCTCAGACCTCAGTTTCCCAGCTGCCCCGGAAGCCTACAATAAGTGACTGGTGTGTATATGATGTCGCTCTGCCCCTTCCAGGGATACGGCGAACACAGTGAAGGAGAAGTTCGGGAGGAAGCTTTACGAATCCCTGCTGGTGTGAGTGCCCCGCCCTCAGCCCTGCGCCCTCCTGGACCCTAACCCCTCTCTCCACCCAATCTCAGATGCATCCCTCTGCTCGCTTCGCAGTGGGAGCCTCCCGGACATGAACAAGATGCTGGACAAGGAGGATTTCACTATGATGAAGAGAGCCATCTTTGCCACGCAGGTATGGTTTGGACCCCTGAGCAGAGAGGCGACAACTCCCAGCAGCCCCAGAGGCAGCTTGCCGTGTTAGCTCTGACCCCAGAGATTGCTGAGAATTCTGCTTTATTGGGCGGCTCTTATCGGGGGAATCAATTCTGAGGTCCACAGAAGAGTGTGAACTGACTGGTAGAACTTCAATTCCCAGAAGCCCTTAGGGCAGCCTGCTTTCCTGAGACTCATTCTGCCACAGGGGCTGCTGGGCATTGTAATTTCTTTGAGTACCCAGGGTCAATGGACAACAGGTGAAAGGGAACTTAGGAAGTCAAGCTAGCCACAAAAGGAGAACTACAACTCCCAGTTGTCCTTGGGCTTTGCTGCGTACTAGCTCCACCTCTCTCCCCAGAGACAGCTGGGAATGGTAGTTTTGTTGGGCCTCTTTTACACTAGAGCCAACGTGTCAGCTAAAACACTTATCTTTTCCTAGAGAACATTGAAAACTCTCAGCAGCCGCTGTTTCTTATCCCCTTGCCTGTGTCTTAGTCTCCAAACACTCGTGGGAGTGGTAGCTTCTTTACATTATTGGCAGGTAACTGGAATTAGGTGGATGGGAAACCTTAGAGAAGATCGGCAGTCACCAAATGAGAACTGCAATTCCCAGCAGCCCCTGGGTCTTTCTGCTATATTGACACTTCCCTACCCCAGAGACTTCTGGGAGTTAGAGTTCTTTTGTTCTCTGGAGTCAAGGGTCTTTGGTACCTATGGCCAGGGTTGGTGAGCCATTTCCTGGAGAATGGAAACCTAGACAGCCAAGTTGCATAAACAAGGTGTGAATTGTTTTTGGCCAAACTATAATTTCCAACAATCCCCAAGGCTGCTTGCCTCACTGAGGGTGTTTCTGCCCTGGGGCTGCTGGGAATTGTAGTTTGTTGGGCCCCTGGAGTCAGTAGACTGAAGGTGTGCAGAACTTTTACTGAGAGAAATGATGGAATATTTGCAAAGAACTATACATCCCAGCAGCCCCCTGGACTTCTATCACACTAGCTCTATCTTCCTCCAGTGACTCTTGGGAATTGTGCTTTTTCTGGGCCGCTGTGGGGGGTGGAAGTCGAGGTAATTACAAGCCACTTAAAGGGAACATGGAAAGAGATCCAGGATTTTCATTAAAAAACTACAACTTCCAGCAGCCCCTGAAGCTTGCCACCATATTGGCACAGTCTCTGGCCTGGTCTACTGGGGGGAGTTAAAGTTCCTTTGAATTTGATGATATAGCCAAGACTACAGAACAAGATAACTGCAACTCCCTGTAGTCCGTGGGGCATGTTAACCCTGGCTCTGCCTCAAAGACAGCTGGGAATTGTAGTTTCTTTTCAGCTCATGGTGGTTAAAGGGGAAAGGGAACCTTTACAGATAGAGTCAAGCAGGAAATCGACAACCCCTGGGAATCTCTTGGGCTGGTTACCCCACAACCTGGTAGGAATTGTAGTCTCCTTGGATCCCCAGGGTCAGCATGTCTCTTTCCTTACCCCCACTCCCCTTGTGGCCCCCACAGCGGCAGTCTTTTCCCCCTGTGTGCACCCACAATATGCTGGACGACTCCTCGGACCCTATCCTGACCACCATCCGTCGAATCGGCCTCTTCAATAGTAGTGCTGACAGGGTCAAGGTGAGGGCAGCGGCCAGGGTGGGTTGGGCCTGGCGGGGGCATGCAGAGGGAACCCTGGGCCTTCCATTCCCCATCTCCCATAGTTTATCAAAAGATCGCTATGTTTAGAAAGAACCTTAGCTTCCGAAGCTGACTTGGATTCAAATCTTTATCCTGCCACTCACCTGTGTGACTTTAGACAAATTTCCCACCCTCTCTGGGCCTCTCTAGGATCTGAGGAGTAGCTACATAAGGTTCTTGGGCTGTGTCCTTCTTTTTCCCTGCCAGGTGATTTTCCACCCAGAGTTCCTCTCCTCCACGAGCCCCCTGCTCCCCGTGGACTATGAGGAGTTTGTCCGTGGCTGCCACCTTGGGGTTTTCCCCTCCTACTATGAGCCTTGGGGCTACACACCAGGTGAGTGCAGCATGGCGGTAGGGTCCTGGGCAGATCTGGCACAATCCCCGTGCAAGGCACTCTGCTTCTCTGAGCCTCAGGCTTCTCCTTTGCAAAACAGGGGCAATAGAGGGCCAGCCCGCTGGCGTAGTGGTTGGGTTCTCACACTCCACTTTGGCAGCCCGGGGTTCGCAGGTTCAGATCCCGGGCACGGACCTAGCACCGCTCGTCAAGCCATACTGTGGCAGCGACCCAAATAAAATAGAGGAAGATTGGCACAGATGTTAGCTCAGCGACAATCTTCCTCAAGCAAAAAGAGGAAGATTGACAATAGATTGGCTCAGGGCCAATCTTCCTCACCAAAAAACCCTAAAAAAACAGGGGCAATGGCAACAGTCTGTTCTGCTACAGTGTGTTTTTGTAAACACAGTAGCTCATGTGATGTTTAACTGGAGGACTGATGTCACAGTTCACATGGCTGACATTTGGCCCCCCCCAAATAAAGCAGCTGAATGCACAGTTCACTGAACACAAAAGAATGTGGCAAAGTCACTCGGAGCTGTTCCTGGTGCCCATCGCCTCCCCCTTCCTCCTGTCGGCTCCCTTCAGACACCAGCTTCGAGCCGAAACAGCTCCTGGGCAGTTCTCCCTCATTTGGGGACATTTTGCTGTGGTTTCCCCAAACTCAACCCTTCCTCACATCTTTTCGCATGTTTTTCAGGCTAAATAAATACCACATTTGCCGTAGTAATTTTTACTTTATGAGTAATTTAACAAGTCTTTTAAACTATGCTTGCATGATAATTAGGAATTTTGCCAGTTTTCTTTCATCCATGGTTAAAATGATGCCTAGGTTTTGTGTGGTCGGCCCCAACCCTGTTTTTCCCATAAGCCCCCTTATAGTTAGCGCCTGCTTTTGCAGCTTACAGAGGTTTTTAGAAACATTTCCATGAGAATTATAACAAACTCCTTGAACCAATTCTCAGCGTTAAGGTAGGAAACAAGGCATCGTAGGTGCTCTGTAGACAGCAATAGTAATAGTGAGAGACTTTTTCTTACCTCCTGTCAAAACAGACTGAAGCTGTTTTAACCAAAACAGTATGGTCTGGCCCAAGAAAGTATCTTACAGGTTGTGAGGATTAAGTAAAATGATAGACATTGGCCCAGAGTACGTATTCAATAAATTAGCATCCTTATCGCCCAACTAAAGACTTCTCCTCATCCTGAGGCCTTGGGGCAAGTGAACTCCCTTTTGCTAAGCCTCTTAGCTTCCGCTCTAAGACTGTGATAGTCCAATGCCCCGCCTGGTTTTTCCACTCCTGACTTGCTCGGCTCAGCGCCCAGCACTTGGTAAAGATGCCAGTAGAGGGCGCCGTTGAGGCGTCTATTGAGATTTAAGACTTTGCTAAGTGCTAAGTGGGCTGTTCTCACGCCTTCCTGCAGCTGAGTGCACGGTTATGGGCATCCCCAGTATCTCCACCAACCTCTCCGGCTTCGGCTGCTTCATGGAGGAACACATCGCAGACCCCTCAGCTTACGGTCAGCGCCCGGACTGAGAGCCGGGACTCTTGGATCCTGGGGAGGAGGGGGTGGAACTACTTAGTCCCAGGGAAGGAGGGGTCCTGGTGCCACAGGGTCCCAGGGAGAATGAAGGTCTCCCCAGTCTGGTTTCTGAGCCCCCGTCCTGGCCCCTGCAGGCATCTACATTCTGGACCGGCGGTTCCGCAGCCTGGATGATTCCTGCTCGCAGCTTACCTCCTTCCTCTACAGCTTCTGCCAGCAGAGCCGGCGGCAGCGCATCATCCAGCGGAACCGCACGGAGCGCCTCTCCGACCTTCTGGACTGGAAATACCTAGGCCGGGTATAACTCCCTTCCCTGTCCTCTGCTAGTGAATCGGCCGCTTCCCGCTCTGGGCCTCTGATTCCTCAGCTCAAAGGCTGGCGCAGGGGACACGGTCTCCTCCTACCTGTAGCAGTTGCTGTCCCTTTAAGAAATTAACGTTTGCGGGAAGACCTCATTGGTCAGAAGTGCTCTATTTGCATAAGGGCGTGGCCAAAGACGTACCCGACTGGAGAATTCCACCCGTGTTCTTGGGATGTGGCTCAGAGACTGTCAAATCATAGCTCTGCTTATCTACCTGAGGGGCGGAGCTAGGAAGATGGATAATTGGCATAGGGGCCAACTGGAGGTGCTCAGAGTGTGCTCATTTGCATAACGGATGTGGCCAGGATTCGCCTCGCTCCGGGTCTGCAGGGGTGGCCGGGGGTCCGGCTCCCGCCCCCTGACGCCTCCCCTCCCACTCACTTCTTTCCCTCAAGTACTATATGTCCGCGCGCCACATGGCGCTGGCCAAGGCCTTTCCAGAACATTTCACCTACGAGCCCCGCGAGGCTGATGCGGTGAGTGGACCCGGGGTCTCTCTGGTGGGCCAGGAGCTGGAGGGCTGGGGTGGGGTAGGGTGGGGCGTCCCTCCCTCCTGGGATCAGAAGGCGTCAGGGGCCCTGGATGCCTGGGCAGGATTGTAGGGGCCTCCGCTCACTCTGCAGTCTGTGCCCACAACCCCGTCCGTACGCAGACCCAGGGCTACCGCTACCCACGGCCTGCATCGGTGCCTCCGTCGCCCTCACTGTCACGACACTCGAGCCCGCACCAGAGCGAGGACGAGGAGGAGCCCCGGGACGTGCCGCCCGATGAAGACAGTGAGCGCTACGACGAGGACGAGGAGGCCGCCAAGGACCGGCGCAACATCCGCGCCCCGGAGTGGCCGCGTCGCGCCTCCTGCACCTCTTCCACGAGCGGGAGCAAGCGCGGCTCGGTGGACACGGGGCCCTCCAGCTCGCTCAGCACCCCCAGCGAGCCCCTCAGCCCCGCCAGCTCCCTGGGCGAGGAGCGCAACTAAGTCTCCTGCCCCACACTCCCCGCCCGCACTGCCTGCCTCATCCAGAGGGTGGATGCTGAAGGGCGCTGTTCCCAAACCCTGCTCCAAATCCGGAACCCTCTGTGGGGTCCACAGCCCCGCCCCCTCCGCCATACAGTCCAGCCCCCTCTAGCTAGCTCTTGGAATCCCCACACTCCAGAACCCACAACGCTGTGCCTTTCTTGGGTTCCAGAATGCACAATCTGTGCCCTGGAGTCCCCCAGGCCTGGCCCGGGTCCCAGAGGCCAGGACTCTGCCGTTACCCTACTGTGGTGCCAGAGGTTTTAGGAAACCTGGCCTATTGCCTTCCAGGCTCCTAGAGCCCTTTGTGGTTTGCAATTCTACAGCCCTCTGAGCATGCCATGTTCAGGCCTGGCCTGGGGGCCACCAAGCTCCGGAAACCGCGTGGTATCCCTGCTAATGGGGACAATCAAGTCCAGAACTAGGCACTTTCAGGGACTTTACTGAATGCAGAAGTTCCTCCATTTCAACTCCAGAACTCGGGCTGCAGGCCAGGGCACTGGTGTTTACTCGGATCCAGCCCTCCCTGATTTGTCCAGCTCTGCCTGCAGGATCTCTCCATCTCTGCCCCCCTCTTCCTCCACACTTTGGCCAAGCAAGGAGGGGGCAGAACCACTTGGCTTCTCATTCCTACTGGAGAACAGACAGTCTTGGTCTAGATGCCTTTCTGGCCTTTTCTGGACCGGATCCTACTCCTTCCGTGCGTCTGAGCTCTCCCTTATATCTCCAGGCTCCTTCTGTGGCCTCCAGGGAACCCCTCGGCTGAGGACAGAACTGGCTGTCTTCCCAGCCACAATCCCCAATCATTAGACCCACCGTGAAACCACTGGGTTCTAGGTGCCGGCTGCTGAATCTAGAACCTTAAGACTGTGCTGCATCCTGGTCCCATTCCCCTGGTCTAAAACTGGGCCCACTGGGTTCTAGAACCTCTATATTTACCTCGAGGCTCTTCCATCCCCAAGCTGTGCCCCGCTCCCAGCTTTGGTGAAACGGAGGGGCCCCTCACGTGTGCTGTGCTGTGTCTAATGCACTTAGTTTGCCGTTGGGAAGGGGGAGGGCGGAAGGAGTGTGACTGAAGTGTGTCCAGAGATGAAAAAATACATCTATATTTAAGAATCTCAGGTCTGGTCCGACATGAGGGGCCTTGTTCCTGGCCCCCCTCTCCTTGTGGCCTCCTCTGTTCCTCCCCCTGCCCACCCCTGGGTCCCTGATCCCTTGTCTCATCCTGCTGTCTTGGAAGAGATTAGGATTGCCAGTCTGATTCCCATCTTATTTCAAGGGAACGCACCTCTGTTGTGTTTACTTGGGACTTGACTTGCAAATGGCGAAAACTTGGCTCAAGCTCCCTTTGGCAGAAAGGGGTGTCACTGGAAAAAGGATTGTAGGGTAGCTCGGAGCCACGTGTGATTATTTGAATTAATCCCTCAGCAGCATTAGCCATGTGCACGTGCTCAACAGCCACTGTGGCCGCATGTGGCTACCCTATCGGGCAGCGCAGATATAGAACGCTTCCATCATTGAAAAAGTCCTATTGGACAGCACTAGTTTAGAGCATGTTTCTAGGACCCTGTGGCCTCTGATCTTTGGCTCTACTGTCCCCTAGATGGCTGTGTTTTCAGGAAAAATCTTTTCCTTTTCCGATCTAGTCTTCACTAGGCCATACGTGCATCTCCAAAGCAATCGCTTTTCAGGGGCGTAGAAAGCTCCAATTTTTTGGATTTGGGAGTGCGATCATCCTTCCTGTTGGCCACTGTGTGACACACAGAAGCTCCCTCCCTGAAAGAGCAGGGACAGCAAGGGTCACGGTGGGGAGCAGACCCAACAACAGGAGTCCAGCAGCCACTTCCTCTTCGATTCTTCTGCCCAAATCAGGGAAGGGGGAGTGGGTCAGAGTTGATTGTTTCGTAACTTGGGCCCAGCAGCTGCCTGTAAACCCTCTTCCAGCTTCAGTTCCCACTTGAATTTGGCCCCAAGTTTCACCTTCCCGTTTCTGTGCTCAGCCCCAAACCCCCAGCTCAGCATCTCTTGCACATCCCATGCTCCCAGCTGCTCAGACACACTCTGAGTTCTTCCTAGCTGTGCTTCAAATTGGAGAGCAGGTGTGGCACCCTGGGTGTGCTTCCTGGTTGCCACGGGCAATTTCTACGTTAATAGCCTCAACTCACCCACAGAAAGGAGCTCCTAATTCTACTTAACCGCCAGAGGTTGGCAGGGCCTGGCACAGACTCGTTTCTTGTTACTGTTTGGTATCTCTTTAACAGTGTCTGCTTCCAGTGACCAACCCCAGGTCTTTAGACTTCCCTGGAATCTGGGCTCTCCTATCTAGGAGGGACTGTTAACAGCCTGGCGAACCAGAGAACCCGTTACTGCAACACACCCCACAGGTGAGGACAAGCCTTAGGAATAGGCAAGACAGGTGGAGCCAACTCCCCCGGCTTGCCAGCCCAGTCCAGCTAGAAGCCTTGTGAAAACAGATCCCACCCCATTTCCCACACCACACAGACACACACAACCACCAGCTGCTGGAAAAAGCTTTATTGTTTCCATTTGGTCCAGGCTTGGGCAGAAGGCTCCAGGCTAGTTAAAAAGCTATCTCTAGTGGCTGCAGGGAGAGGCTCAGGCAGAAGCTCTGACGCCAGGGGGATACCAAAGGGGCCCCCTCAAAGGCCGCTGGACTCCGGAGGCTCCTAGTCGTGCTTGAGGGTGAGCCTTTCAAAGAGATACTCGCCCAGCCCAGCTTGGGAGCCAACGAGCCTCTGGATGTTGGTCAGATGGTCGCCCATCTTCTTGATGAGTTTCACCTCCTCGTCTAGGAAGTGGCTCTCCAAGAAGTCACAGAGCTGAAAGATAAAAGAGAAAATGTTGCCACTTACAATAGTATGACAGATGGGTGACGAGGCTCAGAAGGATAGCTGTCCAATCACGAGGCCAATGCTTAGAACGTAAGCTTCATGTCTGGGTAGCTCAAGGTAAGTAGACACAGATGAACAGAGTACTTACATGGGGGTCTGCCTGGGCAGAACCCAGGGCATGCAGATCCAAAAGGGCCTGGTTCAGGCTCTTCTCCAGGACAATGGCGGCTTTCATGGCATCCAGGGTTGTACCCCACTCATCCTGGGACGGCTTCTATACAGAAAACAGCTCAGAACTAGCCACTTACCCCGCAAAGGACTAAAACGACATTTCCCAGCAGTTGCGGGGGTAAAGAGCCTAGCGCAAAAAACCGTCTAAGGGTTCCTATCCAAACCCCCACCCCCCACCTCCCCGGTCTCCTACAACAGCAACCCCCAGGAGACGACGCCGCAGTCTACACCGCCACGTCCTGGGGGAACTGGGTGCGCCTCCATTCCCAATCATAATAGACAGCCCGCACATGACCAGACTCAATCTCCCAGAAGCCCACGCGGTGCCTAAACAAACGGTCAACAAGCCTCGCGCGCAGGGACTGCCGGGAGATGCAGTCCGTTGCCCGCACCCTGTTTACCTGCAAGTCCTGGAAGAGGGCGCGGCCGCCGCGCTGGTTTTGCATCTTCAAGAGACGCTCGGCACCCTCGCGCTTCTCCTCCGCCAACTCGCGGAAGAAGTGGCATACGCCCTCCAGAGCCACATCGTCGCGGTCGAAATAGAAGCCCTGCGGGAAGAGATGGCGGGAACAACGGTTAGCGGGAGGCGAGGCCAGGCGTGCGGACTCCGCCTTCCGACTACCCGACGGGACAAAGAAAGCCAGCGCGTGCGCAGAAGGCCAGAGGTACGCAGCTGGGGGAAACTTGGGCCGGGGGCGTCCTGGGGATCCTCACCAGAGAGAGGTAGGTGTAGGAGGCCCGCAGGTACAGGTTGACCAGGCGGTTGACGGCGGCCTCCACTTCAGTAGAATAATTCTGACGAATCTGGGAGCTCATGGTTGATCGGCAGTAAGGAGCTGAGCTCAAAAGAACGGTATTAGTGGATCCCGCCGGAGGTAGAGGATGGTTGAGAAGTTGGTCCGAAGGCTGAGACTGGAAAAGAGGTTGGAGGGTGGTCGGAGGCTGGAAAAAGAGGAGTCCCAGGGGTCTGTTCCGTCCAAACACTGTTGAAGCAAGACACAGATCCGTGGGACGCCTAGCGCACTGCAAGGGAGCGTGGCGAAGGCGGCTTCTTTTATAGCGCGCGGGCCCTGGGGGGTGGGGCGTTCAAGGAGTGCGATCGGCCAATCAGCGGTGGCGGGAGGCGGGGCCTGGGGCCGCGCGCGACCAATCGCGAGCCGATAGAAGTCCCGGACCCCCAGCCTGGGGATGGGGAAGTCACGCGACTGTAGCGCGAGGTTGTTGTGAAATGAGGAATTGGGGGGTGGGGAGTTGCGCGGGAGGCCAAGGTCCTGGGGCTGATTCTGGGAAGTCACGGGATTCTGGGGGTCTCTCTGGTAGGTGGAAGACTAGTGGGGACCCTAGAACCCCTGGGGACACTGGGAAAATGATGATGCTGGGGTCCTGGGGGTGTCTCAGGAAAGTAGGTTGGATTCTGGGGTTGTGTTCCGAGAGTATGGACTGTTCTGGAGCCCTCGGGTTGCTCAGAGGTGCAGAGTCCTCCAGATGACTGAGGTTTGCTCTGGGAGCTAAGGGGTCGCCGGATCATTGGAAAGTTTGGAAGGCGATGAGATGATAGTTCTGGAACCTTGGGGATCTCTCTGGGAGATGGGTGGGAGGGGGGCCCTGGAGCCCTGCGGTTCGCTCACAAGTGGGGGCGTTTCTGGAGCCTTGGAGTTCGCAGTGGAAGTCTGTGTTTTCCTGGAGCCTTCCCAGGAGAGGTTTTTAAGCCTTTGTGGTGATCTGCTGGATTAAAAGGATAGTTGTTGGAAAGCCTTGCGGTTCAGCCCCGGGGAGTGGGAAACACATGCTTCTGGAAGCCTAGTAGGGGCTTTTTTAAGTAAGCGGTCTTGGAGAGCCCTTTGGAGCCCTTCAAATACTGTCTGAGCCACTTGGAATGCCTTGGGGCTATTTCAGGGGTGCACTGTTTTTCTGGGAGCAGAAAAGGGGAGGCGTACAATGACACTGGCGCTTTGGGGTGTCGCTGAGGCTGCGTTTCCTGAGGACTCTTTCGAAGGCAGCTGGAGACTCTGGGAACTCTATTTGGCTTTGAAGCACTCTCTCTGAAGCTGTCCCTGTCCTGCGTGACACCTGCCCTTCAAGGACACCCAGAACAGCCTGGGTCCTGGGGAAACAAGGAGGGTCTGGGGACTTGTGGACAGGGTGTCTGTCTTCGACCGATGGGCGTTTTTAAAGTGTGCCAGGTCCAGGCTGGTGGCCGGAGGCCAGAGCTGCTCAAACCACATCCCCGCTCTCTGGGAGCTCCCCGTAGTTGAGGGGGAGACAGACATAAAGACAGAAACTTGGCCTTATGGAGTGCCCTCATGGAGGCCACCAGCGGGCTGGGGCAGCGAAGCTGAAGCCGCTGGCGTTGGGGGGAGGTCAGGGCCTGCTTGGCAGAGGAGCCACTCCTAGCTGCCCAGGCGGGGTCCCTGCTGACCAAGGGGATGCTGGGCCAGGCGGTTGTCCGGGGTCCTCAAGGGGTGTCCATGGCCAGGCGAGCAGCCGTGCTGAGTCATGCTGAACTCAGCTGCAGGAAGGGGCTGGGGCCCGGGGGCGGAGTGGGCACACGCTGACCTCATCTCTGGGGGGGCTGCCTGCTCTCTGGCTGGGCCCCCGGGCGCTAGACCGGGCTCAGAGCCAAGTCTGTTCCCCTCCCCCAAGGTGCCGTCTTCAGTGCTTTGTCCCCGCGTCTTTCTGTCTTTTTAGTTCCCTTGGTCTTTTCTCTGGGCTCCTGCCTGTGGCCATCTTGTCCCCTCCCCTCACTGCTATCTTAGCTGTTTGACATCTCTCCCCGGACTTGGTGTCTCTGGGGGAGGGGCGATTGCCCCAGGTACATGGTCACCAGGCTCTGTGGGTTACTCTTTCACCAAATCTCTCACTCCATCCTGAAGACCTTTAGCCTCAGGCACGTCCCACAGGTGGAGAGGTGACTTGGAAAGTGCTCACAGGGGGAGGGAGAGCAATGAGGAACGGGTGCGACAAAGATGATCTGAAGGATGGACAGAGATGGGGTTTGGGGGAGATCGCGGGACATGGGGGAAGACAGACCCAGAAAGAAGAGGGGGACAGAGACTCAGAGAGAGGGGGACAGGGGCCCAGAGAGAGAGGGACAGGGACCCAGAGAGAGAGGAAAAGAGACTTCGAACAGGGGGACAGGGATCCAGAGAGAAGAGGGGGACAGGGACCCAGAGAGGGGGGGAAAGAGACTCCAAACGGGGACAGGGACGCAAAGAGAGGGGGACAGGGACCCAGAGAGGAGAGGGGGATAGAGACCCACGGAGGAGAGGGGGACAGGGACCCAGAGAGAGAGGGAAAGAGACTCCAAACAGGGGGACAGGGATCCAGAGAGAAGAGGGGAACAGAGACCCAGGGAGAAGGGGACAGGGACCCAGGGAGAGGGGACAACAGACTGACTCTGAGTGATCTCATTCTGGTTGCTTGTCTCTAAATCTGCCAGGCCCCTTTCTGAGCTCAACATCTTCCTGGGGCCGGCTCCTCTCCTGGTGGGCCCCACCCAGTTCCTGGGCCAGACCCCAGCTCCCTGCCCCCCTTCTCCCCCACAGCAGTCTTGGGCCTCATCCTCTCCCTTGGACCCTCTGGTCCCAGCCCCCTCAGCCTTCGGACCTCCAGTAACTTCCCCACGGGGCCCCAGCGCCCTCCCCAGCACCTCCCAAGTTCCCCTCCCCTTGGCTCTGCGCTTCTCCACTTTAGTAAAGTGCAACTTCCTGTGGTCCCATCTGGTGGAAGCTTCCAGGCCCTAGTTCCCCAGGCCCAGGAGGCCTGCTCGGCACCCTGCTGCCCTCTTCTCCCCCCACACCCCTGGGCTCAGGCCTGGCCCAGTGCTGCCTCCAGCACAACGCCCCAGAGCTGCCACATGTGACCTGAGTTGCTTCCGGGGCCCTGGGAAGGGTGAGCACCCACAGAGGGCGCTGGGCACCCTCAGAAAAAGCTGTGTCAGCACGTGAAGCTGGGTCCCCTGCGACAGTCAGGGAGTGCGCCAGTGACTCAGACGCTGAAGTGTGGCCCAAGGAGGTTTATTGCCCCCCGAGGCCACCCCCCCCCCCCCCCATAATTACAAAAGTAAGAAAATTGCCCCCATCCCCGCCCCTCCCAGCAAAACGCCATAATTTATGCAGAAGAGTCACAGTCCAAGGCAGCTGGTGGCCTCAGCCCATCTTCTTCCAGATGGTGAGCGAGGCGGTGAGCACTCCGGCCACGAAGATGGTCACTGTCTGCCACGTGGGTGACCCAAAGTCGGAGAGGAGGCCGTCCTGGGGACAGGGACAGCAGTCACTTCAGGGATCAGCAAGGGAGAGGGGTCAGAGGGCGTGACCAGGTACTAAAGAAGACTTGAGGGACTCCAGAGGAAGGGGAGGCACCAAGGAGGCCAGAAGGCACTAGTTAGGTCAAGGGTCAGCGGGAGGTCAGAGGTCACAGAGAGGTCAGTGGGTGCCCGATGAACGGTGGGGGGGGGATGGATCAGACATGTGAGGAAATGCTTTATAGGTGACATCTGATGATCTAGAAATAGGGAGGGGGCAGCTCGGTGGTGGGCTCAGGGGTCCCAGAGGCCTCACCCAACCACCCTGGTCCTGGATCCAGCCCAGCAGCCGCTCTCGAAGGAAGTCCAGTGTCCAGCCCATGATGGTCCTGATCAGCTCGGGCACCTTGGTGCACAGGGCCTGCGGGGAGTGGGGTGGGACTTAGGGACTCAGCCTTGTCTTCCTTGTCTGGGGACAGTGGCCCCAAGCCTCCTTTCTCCACTCTCTGCCTCCCCTCTTGCCCCCCCTGCAGTCTCTTTTCCACTTAATCAGAATGAGCTTTGTAAACTGTAAACTGGATCTCATCGCTTTCAGCTGCCCTGCTCACAAACCTTCCATGGCTCCCCAGTACCCCTGGGGATAAAGACCAAAAGGCAGAGCTCAGCCCATGAGGCCCTGTGTGAAGGCTCTGACTCGATCACATTCCAATTTTCCACTTCTTTGCTGTGCCTCATTGACCTTCTTCCATGTCTTCATTCCCACCAGACTCTTCCCTGCCTCAGGACCTTTGCACATGCCGAGTCTTCTGCCTAAACAGGCCTCAGCTAAGCGAATTTTCATTCATTCTGCAGAGCTCAGGTCTAATGTCACTTCCCCAGAGAGGGCTTTTCTGACTCCAGACCAGGTAAGACCTGACACCTCCCTTACCCATGACCTCTCTCTAGCTCCCTGAACTTGCCCTTCCCACCCTTTTATTGGGCTGCTTCTCCCCTGTTGTCCCCAGCTCCATATGCAGCCCCACCATCACCCTGACTCCTGTCCCCTGACGCACAACATTCAAGCCTCATTAGCTCGGTTTTGCCAAACACATCAAGAAACCTCCTTCCCCACCTCCACAGCTACCACCTGAGTCCAGGTCAGCCATCGTTCGCCAGGACTCTTACAGGTGCCCCCTCACCAGCTGCCCAGCCTTTGCCCTGTGCCCCATAATCCCTTTTTCTACCTACAATGCCCAGAACAATTTGTTGGGCTTCCCGTCCCCCAATATTTTATCATGAGAATTTTCAGAGAAAAGTTAAAAGAATTCCACAGTCAACAGCCACATACCAGCAATCTAGACTCTACAATTAATATTGTGCTCTACCTGCTAGCATAATGTTTTAAATTTCTAAGTCACTCTCCTGTTTCACACCAGCCAGTCACTCCCGTCTGACTCAGAGTAAAGCTAAAGTCTTTACAGTGACCCAAGAAACCCCTTGCCATCTGCCCTCATCTCCCACCCCTTCCCCCTCCTCGCTCTGTTCTAACCACACGGGCTCCCTCACTGCCCTCAACACACCAGGCTTGGTCCTACCTCAGGGCCTTTGCACTTGCTGTGCCCTCTACCAGATGCCTTTCCCCCGATCCTCATATATGACTGCATCTTTCTTGTCATTCCAACTTTGGCTTTAAGGTCACCTCCTCTTAGAAGTCTTTCCTGACCACCACACACAATCACATCACCCTAGTTTACTTCTCTCAGCACTTATCACACGACATGAGCGCCAGGAGAGCAGGAACCTAGCCTGCTTTGTTCAGTGCTGCATCCTGGGTGCTGAGTATAGATCAGGCACATAGTAGGCTCCATAAATGTTTGTTGAATGAATAAATGAAGGAAGGAGCAATCGGCCCATAACCATCTCTCTCCATTCCCTCTGGTTCCTGGGCTGCCACAGGGGTGGACCTCACGACCCCCAGGTTCTCAGAGGCCGGAGGGACGCCTCCCTGGGCTCGTCGCCCTGCAGCCGCCCACCTTGAGCACCAATTTGCTGGCAAAGTAGAAAAGGGCAACAACCCGGCCCCAGTTGAAGTTGCCGTCGGAAAACATCTCAGCTGCCACTCGGAAAAAGACCTCGCGGGGGGAGTCCGTGTCCACGGCCGCAATCATCCTGCAGGAAAGAGGAAAGCCAGTGCTGGGGAGGGAGGGCCAGGCAGTGTGGACACCCTGGCATCCACCCTCTACCAAACATAAGGAAACTGAGGCCCAAGCCAGGCTGAAGCGAAAAGCAAGAGGCCAGCACGGGGCAAAAGGGACAGGGGGACATGTAGGAAAGTGGGGAAGATGGCTCCATGAAGGAGGGTTTCAAGATCCTAGGCGGGTGGGGAGGGAGGGCTGGGAGTCCAGAGTGCTGAACTGAGCAGCGGGGCCCTGGACCCCTGGGTCTGAGGGTAAAGGGGGCTGTGAGCCTGGACTTCAGGCTCCGAGGGGAAGAGGGGTCGGGAGCTGGGACTCCTGGGTCCCAGGGGCCACACCTCTGCAGCTCCATGTTACTGTCCAGCTCATCTCCGATGCGCTTGAGACACTCGCTCAGCTTCTTGGTGGACGCATCCTGGGGCACCTCCTCCAGGCCCAGCTCGGGTGTGTCTCCCCCCATCCGCCCCGCGCGATCCTGGATGAAACTGGAGTGGGAATGGAGCGGGGGAGGGTGCAGAATCAGAATGGGGCATCGCTCCTCCAATCCGCTCCGCGATAATCAGGCCTCAGACTCACCCCTGAAGCAAAAGGGCCCCTGTCTTCATGATCTGCTCAGAGCTGGTGGGCCCTAGAGGAGAAAGGAGGGAAGAGGTGCCTGGACTCTTGGGTCCTAGGGGAACCAGGGAACTGAGGTGGCTCATGATCCCTGAGGGAGGACAACGCTAGGGGGCCCTGCATTTCCGGGTCCCCCTGGACCAAGTGCCTGGGGGGCTCAGACAACTGAGTCCCTGATGGAGGAAGGGCAGGAAGCCTGGGCTTGTAACCTACATTCTTCCGGGGGAGGAGGCTGAGGGAACACTTTAAGCATCCAGACCCCTGGCCTGAGGGGGCAGAGGGGAGGACCCGCCCCTCCCACCAGGAAGTGGTGCCGGCGACAAGCCCGGGCCTGCCCGGGGGCTTTGATTGTGGGGTCTGCAGCTTCTCGGGGGTCCGAGCTCGCCAGGCAGGAAGGGATCGGGGCGCGGAGGCCAAAGAGCCGGGGACCCCCGGGGAGGGAGGGGGCTGCTGGCTGGCAGCGCCGGATCCGGGAGTTTCTGCCCGGGAGTGCTTGGAGATCGCGCGGCCCCGGGCCGGCGGGACGGATCGGGGGGCCGGCGGCGAGGGGGCTCGCCCTCCTCCCGCCCGTCTGCCTCCCGCCTCACCCCCGCCTCTGGGTTGCTCCCCGGACCCGTCCATCACCGCCGCTCCCGCCGCCGCCTCTCGCCGGGTCCGCCCGGGCGGCCGCAGCACGCCCCCAGTCACGTGAGCGCCCCGCGGAACGTGCGTCTCTCACGTGACCGCCCCGCAAAATGGCCGCGCCCCGCACGGCCGCCCGGTCACGTGACCTCACCTGCCGCACCTGCCGGGGGGGCGCGGCCCCTGTCACGTGACTGTCCGATCGGTGCTTCCCGGCAGGAACCGGTCGTGGCGCCCTCCCGCCGGGGCGCCCATTCCGTCGCCGCTGTGACTTTCCTTCCTTCCTTCATTCATTCATTCGTGCAACGTTGTCAGAAGTTTCGGGTGGGATCTGAGCCCTCCCAGGGCGGAAGGAACAGCCAGTGCCCATCAAAGAGGAACACTATAGGCCCCAAATGGCATTCACTGGGGCAGGGCATTTCCGATGACTAAAGCCTATGAATAGGTATGTGTGAGTGAAAGTAAAAGGAATCTGAAGTTGAAAAGGTGGCAAAACTAATCTACCGTGATAGATTGGCAAGGTATGCACCAGGAGGGTCCCCAAAGGAGGTTCCTGGGGTGGCTGAACTGTGCCATATCTTGATCTGGGTGGTGATGACTTGGGTAGAAACACGTAAAAAGTCACTCAGCTGTATGCATAAGACGTGCACTTTACAGTATGGAAATTATTATATCTACCCTAAAAGAAAATGATAATAATAAAAAGGAACTCAGGGGCCGCCCCGTGGCTGAGTGGTTAAGTTCCCGTGCTCCGCTTTGGCGGCCCAGAGTTTCCAGGGTTTGGATCCTGGGTGCAGCCATGGCACCGCTCATCAAGCGATGCTGAGGTGGCATCCTGCATGCCACAACTAGAAGGACCCACAACTAAAACTACACAACTATGTACCTGGGGGCTTCGGGGAGAAAAAGGAAAAATAAAATCTTTATAAAAAAAAAAAAAGAACTCAGATCAGAAAAATAGGCTGGGGTCAGATGATAAAGGGTTTGGACATATAAGAGAAAGGAGCTCTGTCCCGAGTGTCGCTGGGAGCCCTGGCACTTGAAGATTATAGATGTCCTAGTCCATCAGTGTAACACTGCCAGGAACATAGTCTGACAAAGTCAAGTTTATTGACCCATTGCGATGATGAAGGCCACACCACAGAGAAACCCTGGGGCATCTTGAAAAACAAAGGAGAAAGTAGGGTTATTACAGGATTTGGAGGAAGAATGGAGTTTAAGTGACAACCAAATGTTAGGCTGGAAGCGAAGCAGGGGCAACGTCAGGTGCGGACTGTGGAGAGGAACCAGGGTCCTGGATCCTCGGAAACTACAAGATGAATGTAGATGTGGAGTGTCGGGTCCAGAAACCCTTTATCTGAAACTGTGCACCGGGTTGAAAATCCAGGATGCTACTCTGGATCAAATGACTTAGATCCTACAGGCAAGAGTGGGATGTTTCATTTTTACTGATAGAATGTCCAACACTTTATGATTTTAGAGAACAAAGTTTCTCTGTTTTAAGCATGTCCTTGGGAGAATAGTGTTTCCTGTTAGCTTTGGAGCTGGCTTCATCTGTGTCTGTTAGTCCGGCCCAGGGAATTAGCCCGCCCTCTGCCCTAGTTACAGAGAAGGGAAGAAAGGGCTTTGAATGCAGCCACAGATGTCTAAACAGTACAGCTGTTGAGTAGAAGGGAGAAAACCTTTTAGATAATTCTGAAGTCCAAATTGCTTACGATAATAAAGATGCTGACCCTGTGAAGCCTGCCTCCAAGATGGTCCCCAGTGATTCTCACCCCCAGGTGTTCATGTCCCTGTGTAGTCCCCTCCCACGGTGAGTTGGGCTGACCAGTGTGACCAAGAGGATATTGTGGAAATGACAGAGTGTCACTTCCTAGGTTAGGTCATAAAAGTCACTGCAGCTTCTGCCTAACTGTCTCTTCGCTCACTCGCCTTAGAGGAAGCAGCTGCCTTGTGGCGAGGACACTCAAGCAGTCATCCTCCAGAGAAACACGTGCGGCAAGGATCCTCCAGCCGTGAGAGTGAGCCACCTTGGAAGCAGATCCTGCAGCCCCAGTCAAGCCTTCAGATGCCAGCCGTCCGCACCAGCATCCTGACTGCAACCTCCTGAGAGATCCTAAACCGGAACCGCCAGCTAAGCCACGCATGGATTTCCGACCCTCAGAAATGGTGTGAGATGATAAACGTTTATTGTTGCTTGAAGCTGCTAAGTTTGGGGGCAATTTCTTACACAGCAATAGATCGCTAATACACCTAGGATAATTACGGCCTGTTTACAGCTGAGGAAACTTGAGCCCAGAGAGGCGGATGGACTTGCCAAAGTTGTACAGTTCTCATGGGTGCTCTCGGGTCTCCAGCTTGACAGCTGTATCATTTGGACAGAGCTTTCTTACTCAGCCCCACTCCTAGACCCTCTTGTCCATCCCCTCTGTGGACCTAGGAGGGTCTTTTTTTTTTTGAGGAGGAGGATTAGCCCTGAGCTAATTACTGCCAGTCCTCCTCTTTTTGTTGAGGAAGACTGGCCCTGAGCTAATATCCGTGCCCATCTTCCTCTACTTTATATGTGGGACGCCTACCACAGCATGGCATGCCAAGCAGTGCCGTGTCCGCACCCGGGATCCGAACCGGTGAACCCCAGGCTGCCAAGAAGTGGAATGTACGTACTTAACCACTGCACCACTAGGCTGGCCCCTAGGAGGGTCTTTCTGTACCCAGAGCTGGCCCTGGCCGTCCCCTGCTCACAGCCCTTCCATGGGCCACTGGTAATAAGAAATATCTCTTACATGTTGTTATAAGACAAGGAATCTAGTAGAATCTTCTCTTTGATGTATATCCCAAGAGAAAAGAGATAAAATGATATTTTACGATTCTTCTAACAAAGAAAAATACAGTTCATACATATTTTAAAGTTATTACAAGATGTAAGTTATGGGTGGAACCTGGGTGTGGCTTAGCTGGGTCCTCTGCTTCAGTGTCTCTCATAAGCCTATAAGAAAAAGTGTCAGCTGGGGTTCTGATCTCATCTACATGCCCAACTGGGGAAGGGTCCATTTCGAAGCATGCGTACATGGTTGTTGGGAAGGTGCCGTTCCTTGAGAGATGTTGGGCTGAGGACTGTTGGCTACAGGCCATCCTCACTTCTTTGCCATGGGACCTCTTCATAGGGCAGCTTGCAACATGGCAGCTGGCTTCATCAAAGAGAGCAAGCAAGACGGAAGTCCTCGTTGATTATAACGTAGTCTTGGAAGCGATATCTCATCACTTCCACAGTTAGCAGCAGGTCACTAGGTCCTGCACTGTCAGAGGAGAGGAGATTACACAAGGACGTGAATACCAGGATGTAGAAGTCACTGAGAGCCAGGAAAGGAAGAACACTTTGCACGCTGAGGAAGCGCGGCAACGGAGAGGAAGAACAGATGTTCTAGCGGCTGAGTTATTCCAGGGCAGAGGGCCCTGGGGGCTGACCTAGGAAAGTTTCTAGGGTGGAGAACAATAAGTAGGACTTCAGGGCTCCACTTCTGCCTAGACATATTAAAAGTGACTCCATCTCTGCTGCTGTAAAAGTACCAGTTGTTCTGGTTAGCTATTGCTGCGTAACGAATCAGCCTGGAGCCTAGTGGCTTAAAACAGTGACAACCCTTTTATCATCTTTCATAAGCCTATGGGTGATGGGACTGGGAAAGGCTTAGTGGGCATTGCAGCTTGGGGTCACTCGGCAGCTGGAGCTGGAACAGCAGAGGGGCTCAAACAGTTGAGACCAGAGGGAACATCTATTTTAACGGAGCCTCAAGGCTTCCTGTGTGGTTTCTTTGTGTTGGATAGTTAGGACTCCCTCCCAGCTTGGTGGCTTCAGGGCAGCTGAGCTATTTATGTGATGGCTGAAGGTTTCAAGAGGGTTTCAGCTAACAGAGAAGAAATTGCACGCCTTTCCTGACGTAACCCCCGGAGTCGTGCAAAATCACTTCTGCTTCGTTGTGACAGCTACAAATCAGTCATGAGCCCACTCAGTTTCAAGGGAAGGGGAGCTGGACTCCACCTCTTTTTTTGTTTGTTTGTTTGTTTTGAGGAAGATTGGCCCTGAGCTAACCTCTGTGCCAGTCTTCCTCTATTTTATATGTGGGACGCCTGCCACAGCGTGGCTTGATGAGCAGGTGTGTAGGTCCATGCCTGGGATCCAAACCGGCAAACCCTGGGCCGCGGAAGTGGAGTGTGTGAACTTATGTGACGGTTAATTTTATGTGTCAACTTGACTGAGCCATAGGGTGCCCAGATATTTGGCCAAACTTTATTCTGGGTGATTCTTTTCTTTCCTTCTTCTTCTTCTCCCCAAAGCCCCCTAGAGCATAGTTGTGTATTCTAGTTGTGAGTGCCTCTGGTTGTGCTATGTGGGACACCACCTCAGCATGGCTTGATGAGCGGTGCCATGTCCATGGCCAGGATCCAAACTGGCAAAATCTGGGGCTGGCCCAGTGGTGCAGCAGTTAAGTGTGCACATTCCACTTTGGCGGCCCAGGGTTCGCTGGTTCGGATCCCAGGTGTGGACATGGCACCACTTGGCAAAAGCCATGCTGTGGTAGGCATCCCACGTATAAAGTAGAGGAAGATTGGCGCGGATATTAGCTCAGGGCCAGTCTTCCTCAGCAAAAAGAGGAGGATTGGCAGCAGATGTTAGCTCAGGGCTAGTCTTCCTCAAAAAAAAAAAAAAAAAGCCCTCCTCTCAGCTTCCGTGCATTGAGATACATATTTGGGGCCGGCCCCGTGGCCAAGTGGTTAAGTTCGCGCCTCTGCTGCAGGCGGCCCAGTCTTTCGTTGGCTCCAGTCCTGGGCGCAGACATGGCACTGCTCATCGAGCCACGCTGAAGTGGTGTCCCACATGCCACAACTAGAAGGACCCACAACTAAGAATATACAACCATGTATTGGAGGTCTTTGGGGAGAAAAAGGAAAAAAAAAGAAAAACTGGCAAAATCCTGGGCCGCTGAAGCGGAGTGCCCACTCGGCCATGGGGCCGGCCCCTCTGGGTGATTCTTTGAGTGTGTTTTGGGATGAGATTAACATTTAAATTGGTTGGGGCTGGCCCCGTGGCCGAGAGGTTAAGTTCGCGCGCTCCACTGCAGGTGGCCCAATGTTTCATTGGTTCGAATCCTGGGCGCGGACGTGCCACTGCTCATCAAGCCACGCTGAGGCAGCGTCCCACATGCCACAATTAGAACGACCCACAATGAAGAGCATACAACTGTGTACCGGGGGGGCTTTGGGGAGAAAAAGGAAAAAATAAAATCTTAAAAAAAAAAAATTTAAATTGGTAGACAGATTGCCCTTCCTAATGTGGGTGGGCCTGTCTAATCAATTAAGGCCTGAATAGAACAAAAAGGTGGACCCTCCCCCAAGTGAGAAAGAATTCTCTCTGCCTGACTGCCTTCAGACTCAAAGTGAAACGTCAAATCTTCTTGGGTCTCAAGCTGCCAGCTTTTGGACGAGAACTACACCATCAGCTCTCCTGGTACTCAGGCTTTCCGACTTGGACTGGAACGAGACTGGAACGAAACATCAGGTCTCCAGTTTTCCAACTCACCCTGCAAATCTTGGGGCATGCCGGCCTCCGTAATCGTGTCTTTCTTCTATCCTTCTAGCTTGTTGCTCCACCATCCACAACACACGCTTCCATCTCATGGTGTAAGATGGACACACCAATGCCCAACACCACATCCTCACTCCGGTACCAGGAAAGGTTGAAAGGGAGGCCCTCCTCTTTGCCTTTTCAGGCCTAACTCAGATGCTGCACACATCCCATTGGGTTCTGTTCTGAGATTTCTGCAAATTGCTTACTTGTTCAAAGTGAGAGTGACTAGTGTCATAAACGCAATATATCCATCTCCATCTTCTAAAACCTAGTAGAATTGAACTTTCTGGACTCCCTCTGGTTCATTGAGGCCATGTGACTAGTTCTGGCCAATAACTCATCAGAGGTTATGTATGTCGTTATGCGTCAGACCATTTAAGTTTTGGTACCTCCAGGGCATTCTTTCCTCAGTCACTGCGATGGGCAGGACTTCAGATTGTAGTGGCTCTTTAAGCCTGGATCCCAGACACATACAGACCAGAACCCTTGGCCAAAAGCTAACACGAGTGAGAAATAAACCTGTCGTGCTAAGCTGAGATCTGGGGGCTATTTGTTACTGCAGCATAACCTCACCTATCCTCACAACTACAGGAAAATGTGAAAGTTAGACCTTGCCTAGAGCACAGAGTTGACCCTAATTGGCTGGCCAAGGACCTACATATAGCTGCTCTCCAACTGCTTGTAATTTGGGACATATGACCCAGGCTCTGCCAGTAAGGCCACTGAAACTCTGGTGAAGGCACATCCCTTCTTTCCCGTCGAAATGACTCTTTGTGCCATCACGGAGGCCTGGACGTTCTGAAGGCCAGTTCAGGAAAGGCCTGACCTCAGAGTGAAGGGCCATCAGCTAACATTTGTTGAGGACCTACTGTGTGCTGTGCTGTTCATATACCTGTTCCCATTTAATCCCCACCAGAGGGTGGTGGGTACCATACTGATAAGGAGACAAGAGCAGAGAGAGGCTGGGGGAGGGTACAGTTGGGACACCTCCTTCCCACAGACTGTTCCCGGCCCGAGGTCACAGCCTGAGGCAAGCGAACTGTGGATCTGCCCACAGGGTCTGCTCCAGGAGCTTGTGAAAAATGTGGTCCTGACCCCGCCTTCCTCCCCTCTCCACATCCTTCCAGCAAGTTTATTCTCTCGTGACCCCTTTGGTGGTGGGCTCTCTGCAGCTCCCACCAAATCACCACCTCCAAGATCTCTGTGGAAGCCATGTCTTTATTTATTCACGGCATGCATCAGCGTTTGTCTTGTGGGAAGGTGACTCCAATGGCCTTCCTCACCTCCTCGAGGATGTCAGCCAGGAGCTCACTTTCCGCCAGGGGAATCACAGGACTTTCCGTCAGGCCTAGGGGAGAGTGCAATTAGGGACCCCTCCTACTCATGCCCGAAAGACCCACAGAACTACAATTCCCAGAATCCCATGAGGCACAGTAATATAAGGTTCTGGCAGATGGATGCCCCAGAGAGTCCTGGGAGATGTAGTTCTAATCAGCGGCTTGAGTGGCTGGTGGGGAGGGGCCCACCTCCCCTCCCAGGCATGCCCCGCCACCCTGCCACCCTGCCACCCTGTCCTCCACATCCTTACCCTTTCTCAGGCACTCCCGGACATGGTTGGCTTCGTAAGTCATGCCTGCTCCATTTGTAAAATTGAACTCCTTGCCGGGGGCTGGGGGCAGTGGGAATTCCTTATGCTCCCCGTTTACCACCAGCTCTGTTGGGCACCAGCAGGGGTGGAGGATCTGGAGGGAGATAAGAGGTGGCCCTACTGCCCTCCCCAACAGGGCTGCTGGGGGCTCCTGCCTGGTGATGCCCCGCTCTCACACCTGGTGGCTAGGAGTAGTAGCCCTCTATCCTCAGTGAGGTCCCTGCACCCCCATCCCCGGCTGCTGGGGGTTTGTTTCTTAGCAGCACGGATGTGACACTAGAAGCCTCTCTGTTCATCTCCCCAGAGGCAAAGTCCTCTCTAAGCTGATGCTTAGTCCTAGTGAAGACAGCTTATCTTTGCATCTGTGTGAATCCCCTTTGCGAGGAGACTTAGACAATCCAGCACCTTCTTTTTCTTTTTTTTTAAAGATTGGCACCTGAGCTAACAACTGTTGCCAATCTTTTTTTTTTTTTTTCTGCTTTATCTCCTCAAATCACCCCCAGTACATAGTTGTATATCTTAGTTGCAGGTCCTTCTAGTTGTGGCATGTGGGATGCCGCCTCAACGTGGCCTGACGAGCGGTGCCATGTCCGGGCCCAGGATCCAAACCGGCAAAACCCTGGGCCGCTGCAGCGGAGCGCGAGAACTTAACCACTCGGCCACGGGGCTGGTCCCCAGCACCTATTCTTAACCACTAGGCGACTTGTTTTTTTCACCCCAGAGCCCTGGGAAGTCTAAATTATCCTGAAGTCTAGGCCAAAATAGAAATATAGAGATACAGCCAGGGCAAGGTCCAAATTTTGCAATTCGAGTCTGGGGCAAGGTCCACATTCTTCCGCTAAGAACAAGATATCTTTCTAGCAACAAATGGCCCCAGGAAGCCGCCCTTTGCTAATGCCCAGATCCTGTCCTGCAAGCAATTCCAAAGGTCAGACTGCCCTCTGACCATGGTTGATAAGAACTGGCTTCTCACGGGGGCCGGCCCAGTGGCGTAGTGGTTAAGTTTGCACGCTCTGCTTCAATGGCCCAGGGTTCACCAGTTCAAATCCAGGTCGCAGACTTAACACCGCTCATCAAGCCGTGCTGTGGCGGCGTCCCACATACAAGAACTAGACGGACCTACAACTGGGATATACAACTATGTACTGGAGGGCTTTTGGGAGAAAAAAAAAAAAGGAGGAAGATTGGCAACAGATGTTAGGTCAGGGCCAATCTTCCTCACACACACACAAGAACTGGTTTCTCCTCAGCCCTAAGGATTTTCGGCAGACTGATAGGTTTACCCTTAGGAAGGAGCCAGGAGGTCCAAACCCCGTCTCATAGCCTGGTTGTTGAGGATGGATTCCTTAGCAACAGTGTAGGAGGACGCTGGTTCAGCACGTATCCAGCTGCAGCAGCCACAGCTGGCCCACTCCTGTTGCGAAGGGCCGTGTTTCCCAGCACTTGGGCCGGTTCCAGCTCGGCCGGTGGCGCCTCACCTGGGCTATGCCCTTGGTCCCGCTCACGAAGGCCGTATTGGTGAGCTCCACGGTGATGCTGCACGTGAAGCTGGCGTGGACCCCTCCTGGGTACTGGAGTAGCACAGTGACGGTGTCATCCACACCTGGGGGAAAGCACAAGACAGGGGCAAGCCTGGCCTCAAATCCTGCCTTGGGCAGGAACCTGGGGCGAGAGATCTCGTCTCTAATACGACAATTAGAGAACTGAAAAAGAATGAAGCACTGATCCGTGCTAACGCATGGATAAACCCAGAAAACACTTAACGTTAAGTGAAAGAAGGCAGACATAAAGGGACCCATATTGAAGGATTCCATTTGTGTGAAGCATCCAACATTTGCCAAATCCATAGAGCCAGAGAGTAGATTAGTGGTTGCTTAGGGCTCTGGGGGGCATGGGAGAAGTGGGTGTGGTTTTTTTTTTGAGTAATGAAAATATTCTAAAATTAATTATGGTGAAAATGCACAACTCTGTGAATATACTAGAGCCATGGAATTGTACACTTTAAATGAATAAATTGTATGGTATGTGAATCATATCTCAGTAAAGCTGTTACCAAAATAAGTAAATAAATAAATATATGCTAAAAAAAAAAAAAGAGAGACTTCACCTCTCTGAGCGTCAGTTTCCGCCTCTGTAAATACCTCTCGTGTAGGTTTGTGAGAGTCAGTTTTCTCATCTCTAAAATGGGCATAATCATAGAACCTGCCTCCTGGGGTTGTACAAATATGACATTAAATGATGTAAAATGCATAAAGCATTTAGAAGCCTATTTAGATCCCAGTAAGAGCTTATGTATATGTGACATATGATGTACATAATGCTTATAAATAAGCATTAGTTAAAAATTAACTACAGCATGTAAAGTACTAGCCTGGTTCTAGAACGCGTCAGGCAGGCCATGGCTGGAAGGACTCACTGACCCCGTTCTCTTTGGTTTCAGATAAGCCCAAGTTCTTAGCCTGGGTCTGCTGTGTGAGCCCGGATAAGTCACTGCCCCTCTCTGTACCTCAGTTTCCTCATCTGTGAAATGGGGACAGCTGTCTTCTATCTGCCTCAGGGAGACCCTCCCCATAATAAGCCTAATGCAGAGGAAGAGCCTGATACATGGAATCTGTTGTAGCTCCCATTGAGCCTAGAAATGGGCCAGACATTAGACTGACACAGTTTTCTGAAGGGTGACATGGCCCCCCACGTATTGTTCTCCTGGCTGTTCATTCCCTTCTGTGGTGCCGTTGGCAAGGACGGCCCCAGGAATTCCCCTCATTAATCTATGAGTGCCTCCTTTGCAATGTGACTTTGCAGCAGCTTCCATCAAGAGGCACAGTTTGTTTGCCCATCTCTGAAATCTGAGCTGGCTTTGGGCCGTGGGACAGGAGCAAAGATGGCAGAAGCCAAGGTTTGAAACGTGTGGCACATTGGGGCCTGCCTTCTTGTTGCTGCCCCCGGAACCCTGAGCCCACAATGTGAATGAGCCGGAGCTAGCCAGCTGGAGAGGCCCCTGGAGGAGAACCAAGGCTCCTCAGACAATAGCCAACACCTCCAGGATATAAGTGGGGCCCTTGTAGACCATCCAGCCCAGTGGAACAGCCAGCTGACTGAGTGAGACCAGCAGAAGAACCAGCCACGCTGAGCCCAGCCCAAATTGCCGAACCCAGAGAATCACAAGCTAATAAACGATGATTATTTGAGGTCACTTAGTTCTGGGGTAGCTTGTTATGCAGAACAAACTGAGACAACTTCAAAAAATAATCATCGTTTCTGTTAACTGCTTACCAGTTGCCTCAACAGTTACTTCGTTAACTCCTTATGACAGCCCTGTTATTGACATTTTACCTGTAACTAATTAAGACTCAGAGATGTTGAGTCCCTTGGCTAAGATCACACAGCAAATCCCAATACAGAGCCTGTCCACACACTCAACTCAGATGCTCTCTGATTCATTCCGGAAGTTCCTCCAGCTGTCTAATCTGAGTGTCAAGGGCTGGGAGACATTTCCTAGCTCGGTGCTCCCATGAAGAGAGGGTCACTTCTCTGAGCATCAGCTAGCCCAGGCCAGACTGTACCTGTTTCGTAGCGCCGTCCCACGGCTGAAATCTTCTCTGGCTTCTGCCCGCCGAAGACCATGGAGATGAACTGGACGCAATAGATGCCAAGGTCCAGCAGGGCCCCGCCAGCCTGGGCCCAGTCTATGGACCGCGGTACGTGGGTTAAGTTCTTCCCAAATTCTGCGTGGGCCACTCGAAGGTCCCCCAGCGTTCCCTGGGCCAGAGCAGCCCTCAGAGCCTCTATGGCAGGAAAGAAGCGGGTCCAGATGGCCTGGGGACCACGGAGGGGCGAGATCAGGACGCGGGAAGGGAAGGAGAGGGGTCGGAACCCAAGAAGCAGCCAACCAGGTCTTCTCCCTTCTGGGGCCCAATCTTGAGGGGTTACCCGCTGCTCCCCAGTCTCCAAACAAGACCCCTCCCTCTTCCTCTCACAGCCTGACGGTCCCTGAGCTGTGTGCCCCCTGACCCTGACTCTCTCTGCCCTCCCCTCGCCGCTCCATTCCCATGACCTCAGCTCTGCCCTTCCTTGTCCTTCCTCATCTGGACCATTACCCCAGTCCCCCAATGTGAATTGTGTCCCCAGAAAATTCATATGTTGAGGTCCTAACCCCCCAGTACCTCCCAAAGTGAGTGTATTTGGAGACGGGTTTTTTTTTTTTTTTTGAGGAAGATTAGCCCTGAGCTAACATCCGCCGCCAATCCTCCTTTTTTTGCTGAGGAAGACTGGCTGTGAGCTAACATCCGTGCCCATCTTCCTCTACTTTATACGTGGGATGCCTACCACAGCATGGCTTGCCAAGCGGTGCCATGTCTGCACCCGGGATCCGAACCAGTGAACCCCAGGCCGCCAAAGCAGAACGTGCGCACTTAACCGCTGCACCACTGGGCCGGCCCCTGAGATGGGGATTTTAAAAAGGTAATTAAGTTAAAATGAGGTCATTAGGGTGGGCCCTAATCTAATAGGACTAGCGTCCTTATAAGAAGAAATTAGGACACAGACATGCACAGAGGGATGACCATGGGAGGACACGGGGAGGAGAAGGCGCCATCTACACCCCAAGGAGAGAGGCCTCAGGAGAAACCAATCCTGCTGACACCTTGATCTCAGACTTCTAGCTTCCAGAATTGTGAGGAAGTAAATCTCTCTTGTTTAACCCACTCAGTTTGCAGTGGTACTTTGTTACAGCAGACCTAGTCAGCTCATATACCCAGTCGGCCCCCTCCAGTCCATCCCGATATGGCCCCAGTGGGACCTTTCCTTTTCCGAGAGCTGACCCTTTCTCACTCTTACTCAGTCCCCTTCTATGGCTCCTCATTGCCTAATATCAGCTCCTGTTAATTGGATGCATTTTGAGCAAGAAACTACCTACATACTTTGCATAATGAATCCTCGCAACATCCCTGCCAGGTAGCTGTCATTATGTCCATTTTATAGATGAGAAAACTGGGGCTCAGTTGAGTCAAATATCTTGCCCAAGGTCACAGAGCCAGGAACTGGGGGATGGGAGTTAGATGCCTCTGACTCTAAAGCCAGAAATCTTGACCTAAGATCAAGTTCATACTAAATACACAAAGTCTGCCCATTCTTGTTCCCTTGAAATCTTAACTCTGCTTTCCCCTTCTGGCTTTATTTACCCATGCAATTTACTTTTCCTTTAAGGCTCAGGTCAGCCCCTACCTGCCGGAAACCTCCTTGACTTGGGCAAACCTCATTGAATGGGCAACTCTGGGATCACCCATTTCCATGACTGTGGCAGACCTTGAGCTCCTTGAAAACTGAGCCTGTGTCTTGGACATTATGAGTCCCCGGTTCCTACAGTTGGATCTGGCACACCTTAGGTGCCAGTAAAAATGAGGAGGCGATAAACTCAGAATTTTGGCACTGACAAGGCACCGCAAGAACCAGAGGAACCATATTAAATCTTGACTGTGTATTTCTTGGGCATATGGAACTTTGTAGACTGGGAGCCTCGGCAATATTGGGCATACAATACCCAGATAGGACACGGGGACGTAAATGGCAGCTATTGCTACTACTGGCGGACCTACAGCAAGGCGTTTAAGAACCACAATGCTCTTTAACATGAAAATAGCTTCTGGGGGGCCATCTTAACTGCTGGCACTAGTCATTGGCGTTTGGCGGCCATTTTTATTCCTGGCAATCTGCAAGATGTCAAAGACCCCTCTAAGTAGGCAAGTTTGATAGGGGCAAAAACTAAGGCTGCTTGGTGTTGAGGGTGTCCAGGGAGTTCCTTGGTTCTTCCAACCTGTATCCCTGGAAATCCACCCAAACCAAGCCCCACTGCCATTCTTGGCCACTTTCACTGTTGGCATCTTCTTCTGAAAGGCTGACAAAGGACCCCTCAGGAAGCCATGTTTGCTAAGGGTCAAAAGCAACGGCTCCCACCCATGATGGATGGTGCCAGTGGAGTTCTTGGCATAGCCCAACCACATCCTCGCAAGTGCGTCGACCCCAGTACCTGTTGTGGTCTTAACTCTTGATAAACCCTTCCCTGGTGTTCCTCCAAAAATGTCCACCGACAACCATGCTTAGTAGTGGCAAGCAGTGCTTCGTTGCTCTCACCTCCATAAGGAAGAGGCCTCGGGATCGGGCCTCAGCAACCATTTCGTGCACTTCCGCAGTGTTCACGCCCAGGGGCTTCTCGCACAAGACGGCCTTGCCCGCTGCCAGGCTTAGCAGCACCGCAGCCTTGTGCTGGGGGTGCTGGGCGCCAATGTAGACCACCTCTAGCGTTGGGGGAAGGAGGGCCAGAGATCAGAAGCCCCGCCCACCGCAACCTTCGGAGCCCCGCCCACAATTCAGAGGCCCCGCCCCCAGCACCCAAGAAACCCCGATTCCCCCAACCCGGGAGGAAGTCCTAGGCAGTGGTCAAACCCTAGTGTCCCATTAGGAAGGAGCTAACCATCCTCTCCCATCCCTCTATTTTCTTCAGATTATTTCCAGCCTTCTGAAATCCTCATATTAAATCATTTAATCCCCACAGCACCACCAAGGAGTGGATACTATGATTTTGCCCGTTTTACCAATGAGGAAACTGAGAGGGGCAAGCAGAGAGAGAATGCCAATTCAGGCAGCCTGACTCCGGAGCCAGGCTGTTGTCCAACTACACCGTCCCTGCTCTCCATCCAGGCCACTTGGGAACACGGAAACCCGGCCGCAGGGCATATTTAACGCCTGAACAGCCTCCCTCAGCCCCCCGCCCCCTTACCGCTGAGGCCTGGCCTCTTAACGCAATTTAATCCTAGACAGCCAATCCCAGACCAAACCCATTCCTATAGCTCCGCCTCCCAGCCCAAGGTCCGCCCAGAAGCCCAAAGGGATTGACCCACCCTGCGGAGCCTTTCATCTCCTACGGGGCAGCCAGGAGGCAGCGCCCTGGGGGCCCCCGCGGCCCTTGCCACTCACCCACGTTCGGGTCCTTGACCAGCTCCTCGTAGGAGCCGTAGGCCTTGGGGATGTCATGTTTCCGCGCAAACTCCTTCGCCCGGCTCAGGTCGCGGGCCGCTACTGCCACCACCTGGAGGGCCGCCAGGGTCAGACATGAGGGGCTGGTGCAGGCGTGGAAGACGGGTGGATGGGAGGGAGGCGATGGAGGAGGCCCCGGGGTGAGGAAACATTACATCCTCCAAGAGGACGGAGAAGGGATGCGGGCCTGAGGGAGAAACTGGACATCTGCGTCCTGGGAAAGAGAGATCTGGGGAAGCGATTATTAAATCCTCTAATACCTAAATTACTCCTCTTGACAGCAGCTCAGATCAAGACCCTCCCAAGCCTCACGGAGCTCGTGTTTACAGGACAGACTTGGAGAAAGAGTGAGTAGGGAATTAGAGGTGGTTTCATTGCCTTGGGGACTCAGAAGTCCAGAACCCTAACTCCCTCCTCCCTCAGCCCCAGGAGTCCCGGGCCCCCGGCCTGCTCTTCCCCAGGACTCCGGAGGGAGGGCGGACCTGGTGCTCGGAGCGAGGCAGCGTCCGTAGCACAGTCGTGAAGTCGCTGGAGATGAGGCCGGCAGACACGATGCCCCAGCACAGCGCCATCGCCGAAGCTCAAGAGTCGCAAGGCTTGGCAACCTTCGCGCAGCGGTAATTAAACACCTGACGCCCCGCCCACCAGGGGGCGAGGTCATTTTACCCGCCCTCATTGCCTCTGCCCCGCTTCTCATTGGCCAACGGGCCTGCGCACCCCTCCAGTCCCTCCAATAAAAAGAAGGAGGTTATTTAAATCTGGCTTACCATTGGAAGAGCGCCCCTTTGGCCCCGCCTTACGGGGGGTGGGACCAGAAACACTTCATGCTTGGCCTCGGGAGTCATCTAACCACGTGACATAAGGGGAGGGGCTCTCTTTTCTTGGCAACTTCAACCCTCGGGGGTCTCCTTTCCTCCTTCCCCGGGCTCTTGGTCAGAACGCGGCGCACCGTTAGGAATTGTCCAGAGAGGGATCGAGGATGGTAACAGCAAAGATAATAATAATTACTAGTATTAGAGAGCGCCTGCTGTGGCGCAGGCCCCCGGCTCCGCGCCTTCCTTTCCTCATCCCTGACTTCTGACCACAGACCCGCCAACTAGGTTCTATTGCTCTCCATTTACAGGGGGAGAAGCCGACCCGGAGAACCATGGTCATCTGTTTGAGATCTCACAGCCGAGATGTGAAGACCTGCAAATTGGCTGCTCCCAGAGACCAGGGTTTTAGGAACCAGGCTGTCCTCCTTCTGAAGAACCCTGGGGCCAGGCTGGCGTGTTCCAAACCCCTGCATGCCACTTCTTGGCTGTACTGTTTTTCGCAAGGGGTTTCCCTCTCTGAACCTCACTTTTCTGTTATGGAAAACAGAGGTCACCATAGCATTTACTTACACAGAGTTAAGAGGGTTAACTGAGCTCTGGGGTCTACTCTAAAATATAGTAAGTGATTATTCTCTAAGTCCATTGGCAAAGGGCTGGCCAACTTCACCTACAGCACATTCGTCCGTTTCTCTTCCCTTGTAGACATTTAATTAAGATCTGAGTTTCGCACAGAGACTTCCAGGTTCCAAGCTCACACTAACTGCTGAATAAAAATGTGAAGGGATTGCACAGAGGACGCCACATCACAACTAGGATACACAGCTACGTACTGGGGCTTTGGGGAGAAAAAAGAAAAATTTTGTAGAGCTGCACACTAGAAAATTTTTAAAGTGCATGTAAATCCGAATAAGTGCTGGTGAAAACAGACTCAGGTCTGTACCCGATTAAATAATGTAGCAATATCAGTTCCGGGTTCCCACAATGTGCTCTGGTTGTCTACGATATCGCTGGGGGCAAGCTGGGTGTAGCGTCCAAAGGAACTCTGTACTGTTTTGCAAGTTCTTACATGATTTCAGAATACAGAGTTATAATTAACAATTGTTGGTGGTGCATTCATATGCCCAGAGAAATCATTTTTCAATATCCGGTAAAGTAGAAAATGAGCGTATCTTGTGGTCTGGCGATTTCTGTCCAAGACAGAAGATATCAACCCTTGAGTAGCTCAAACCTGTGCCCGAGAAGACGTGCAAGAACACCTGTTGCAGCATTGAGTGTGATAGCTCGAAATTGGAAGCAGCCACCGGTAGAAAGACAGTGGCGAATAAACCGCGGCCAATTCTAACAACAGGACGCCACGTAGCAAGGAAAGCAGATGAACTAACCTCACAATTTGTTGGCATGGAATCTCAAAAACTTAAACTTTGGAGAAAAAAAATTAAGTGACATGACAGGCGAACAGTCCTTTTCTATGACCTACAGAAGCATGTCAAACAGTACAATGTATTGTTTATAGGTACATTCTTATTTCAAAAAGAACTGGAGGGGCCGGCCCGGTGGTGCAGTGGTTAAGGGCGCACGTTCCACTTCGGCGGCCTGGGGTTCGCCGTTTCGGATCCCGGGTGAGGACATGGCACCTCTTGGCACGCCATGCTGTGGGAGGCATCCCACATATAAAGTGGAGGAAGATGGGCATGGACGTTAGCTCAGGGCCAGTCTTCCTCAGCGAAAAGAGGAGGATTGGTGGCAGATGTTAGCTCAGGGCTAATCTTCCTCAAAACAAAAAAAGAAAAAAACTGGAAACACTTATGGGAAAGAAAGACTCCAAGTTCAGGAGAGCAGTTTCCTCTGAAGTCAGAAAGGGGATACTGTGGTTGGGGGCGGGCCACACGGGGCTTCAACTCTGTCACATTTTATGCCTGATGAAAAGAGATCTGAAACAACCATGGCAATCCATTAAGGCTTGGCCAGTCTGGGCATCGCATCCAAGAGTGTCTTGTCATTTTCTCTGTACCTTTCTCGACCTTTTTATTTGCCTGAGTCTATTCAGCAAGGCTCTCATGCTGGGCCACTGGTGCCTGCCCCTGTTCTAAAGGCTTTCTGAATATTATTGTGTGTCATCCTCACAACAAATCTTTGAAGTGGGTCCTGAAGCAGCCTCATTTTACAGATAAGGAAACTGAGGCACAGAGTGGACAAGAAACTTGCTCGAAGTCACACAGCCAGAAAGTGGGCGTGCCGGGATTGAAACCCAACCAGTGTGGTCCCAGAGTCCACTCGCTGAACTGTGTCCACTCTGTTTTCTTTAACTTATAATTAAATAAGGAAAACCACTGGTCTGGAGAACAAATCCTCTGCTCAGCAGGTCAGGCACCTTCCATCGTGGGAGGCAGACCTCAGAGCTTAAGGATGTGACAGAGTTTCTGGGACCTACAGTGAGAGCCAGGGGATGAACGGAGGGCATAGAACATGAAGTGGCATTTTGGGGCAGAGGGTCAGCAAATACGTGGGAGCCCATTCCCTCATGTCTTCTGGCAGGAGCTGCTCGGCTGGGGTGCTGCTTGCTACACTCTACCCCCAAAAGACACCCACTTCCTAGCTCTCTTGCTTTCTTTACAGGACAAGCAAAACGAGGGTTTTGAAAGTGTGGCAAATCCATTTGGAGCTTGGGTACCAAATTGTGTGAGTTTGGCTGCCAGCGCTTTCCAGGACTTGCTGGCAGCATCATTGAGAGACCTCGGAGGAAGTTGAAATCCTGGCGAGAGGGGAAGCCTCTCTCCCAGCCCTGTCATAGCCAGGAATTCCAGAAAGAGCCTTCAAGGTCACTCAACAGACAGTCCTCCCAACAGAGCACACATATTTATTGAGCATCTAATCTGTGCCAGGTCCTGGGGATACACTGGAAATGAGACAGATGCTTTCTCTGTCCTCGTGCACCTGCCGGTCCAGCGGGGTTGATAGTGGGGAGAACAGCAGCAGAGGAATGGCATGAGCAAGTTCTCTGAGATGGGAAAGAGCTAAGTATGTTTTTTGTTGTTGTTTTTTGTTTTTGAGGAAGATTAGCCCTGAGCTAACTGCTGCCAATCCTCCTCTTTTTACTGAGGAAGACTGGCCCTGAGCTAACATCCATGCCCATCTTCCTCTACTTTATATGTGGGATGCTTCCACAGCATGGCTTGCCAACTGGTGCCATGTCTGCACCCAGGATCCGAACCGGCGAACCCCGGGCTGCCAAGAAGAGAAAGGCTTGAACTTAACCGCTGCGCCACTGGGCCGGCCCCTAAGTAGCTTTTTAAGAACTGAAAAAAGGCCAGTGCGGCTGAAGAAAAAGATGGTGGGTGAGTGTGATGGAAGATGCGGCTGGAGAGGCAAGCAGGGGAGAAGTCACGAAGGGCTTGGAGAGGACCCTGAAGGGTCTTCAGCAGGAGCAGCAGGGACTAATTCAGGCAGCTTCTTGTTGTGGCACCCACGACAATATTGGCATGACTCACATATTCATTCAGCAAACGTTGTTACTCACTTTACTGTTGGCCATGTGCTGGACGATGCTGGGGACCCAGAGATGAACCTCACCCCATTTCCTGCCCCCCTCTGGTGGGGGGAACAGACACAGCCGGTAGAAGGCATAATAATGCCCCCTTCCCAAAGATGCCCCCGTCCTAGTCACCAGAACCCGTGAGTATGTGACTTTACCTGATAAAAGGGACTTTGCAGGTGTGATTAAGTGCAGGATCTTGAGTTGGGGAGATTATTCTGGATTATCTAGTGGGCTCAATGTAATTACAAAATGAGAGGGAGGCAGGAGGGTCAGAATCAGAGAAGGAGATGTGACCATGGAAGAGAGTAAGAGATTTGAAAATGCGACAAGGTGGTTTTGAAGCTGGAGGATGGGGCCACGAGCCAAGGGATGCAGGCGGCTCTAGAGGCTGGAAAAGGCCAGAAACAGATTCTCCCCAGAACATCCAGAAGGAATAAAGCCCTGCAGACACCTTGATCTTTTAACCAATCAAGACCCATTTTATACTTCTGACCTCTAGAACCAGGAGATAATGAATTCGTGTTTTAAGCCATTAAGTTTGTGATCCAGTGTTTAAGCAGCAGTAGGAGACGCATACACGGCTCCAGAAGGACAGAGTCCTGGATGATGTTGCCGTCACGGTGCAAACACTAGGCAGTGTGGAGGGCCGGGGGGTGGTTACTCCTAGCCCAGTCTGGGGACCGGGGAAGGCTGGGCAGATCGGATGATGATCCAACTGCATTTTGGGAGATTCTGATGGAGACTTCCCAGGCTTAGAAGGAGAGATGGCATTCCAGATGGACAAAACCACCCGTGCAAGAGAAAGCTGGGTCCCTTTAGAAGTGAGAGCCTAGAACCCAGGATGTGAGGTGGCAGGGGGCGTGTGAAAAATAAACCTAGAAAGGGCACCTCACTGGGCCATTTGTGGTGAGTCAAAGAGCTCGTCCTGCAGGCGATGGGGTGTGAAGGAAGGAAGAAAGGAGGCGATGACCCGGGTCACATTAAGTGTTAGAAAACCACCTGTGAAATTAAAGGTCACACAGAAACTGTCAACCACACAAGGGATGGGTGGACAGCGTGCCGGGAAGAGAACACAGCCTTTATTCATGAAACCATTTATTCACCAGAATTTTTTGAGCGTAGATTCAGTGTCAAAAAGAACATTGCCCCTGCTTGAGAGTGCAGATTTTGGCCACAGCCTGCTGGGGGTCCACTCCCAGCTCTGCCACTCACTCACGGTGGGACCTTAGGCAAGTGACGTGGCTTGTCTTCTTTGCCTCATCTGTCAAATGGGGTTGGTGATGATAATTACCTTGGAGGGATTTAGTGCGGATAAAATGAATTGTTGTTTATAATGTGCTTGGGTTGGCACCTGCCACATTATAAGTGCTATAGAACTGTTAGCTACTTCGTATGAGCGTGTATTCGTGTCGCGTGGCTGCTGTAAGAAATTACCACCATCAGGAATAGTATCGGTGTTAATACTTTGAGAGTTCTGGTCGCTGCTATGACCACGAAAAAGGTGAGGAGATGCACGGGGAAGAGTTTAGTGTTTTAGTGAATGAAGTGAAGGAGGACTCAGAGAAGGGAGGTGGGAGGGATGGAGACCCAGAGAAAGAAGGAGAAAGTCTGTATTAGTTTCCTGCAGCTGCTGTAACAAATCACCACAAATTTAGTGGCTTAAAACCATGCAAATGTATTCTCTTACTCTTCTGGGCATCAGAAGTCCAAAATGGGTCTCACGGGGCTCAAAGCATCGTGTCTGCAGGCCTGTGCTCCTGACGGAGGCTCTGAGGGAAGAATTCATTTCCTTGCCTTGAATTACCAGCTTCTAGAAGCCACCATTTCTTGGCTCATGGCTCTGAATCACTTTGACCTTGCCGACTGAAATAAAGAGTCTGGGTCAAGGTTAATTAAACAAGCCTCTTTGATAATCAAGGTGAGGACTTTGAGTCTTGGCAGCAGTTCAACAGAGTATTCTGAGCAACTGCTCTGGAGTACGTGAGTTTAAGTGCAGCTTATAGCTTTTTCACAAAACATTGTACCTGCAGGGGAGAGGAAGGAAAACTGACAACTAGATTTCATATATGTCAAAAAAGAGATAGCATACATCTGCGTTTTTCTCTAGATTATGCATTGAAGGTGACATAAACAAGAATTCCTTGGGGCTGGCCCAGTGGTGTAGTGGTTAGGTTTGCATGCTCTGCTTTGGTGGCCCAGAGTTCACAAGTTCGAGTCTCAGGTGTGGACCTACACACCGCTCATCAAGCCATGCTGTGGTGGCGTCCCACATAGTAAATGGAGGGAGGTTGGCACAGATGTTAGCTCAAGGCTGATCTTCCTCACACACACGCACACAAAATTCCTTGGTTATACATCAAACAGGCTCAGAGATGCTGATGTCATCTGTGTGTGGAGGGAGGCAGGGACCAGGGTCATCAATTAGCCCCT